CCACTTCCATTTTCCCGTCATTTTTTCACGACACTGTGAAAATTTCACATTTTCACTTAATTCGGGAAAGGACACCAAGAAAAAATTAATTCTATAAATATAATGAAGGCAAACTAAATGAGACAGTCGAAGCTGTGAGGAATCTTGAGAAATTGCTTGAAATATGTAAACAGTACGGAAGTTCAAAGTCGACAGTACAGGACTGGAATAAAGGAAAAAATTATTTTCTTGCTCATTTTTACCTAGTTTGTATGTATATTTGATAAACATACCTATATTCAATGGAATGAGTGTGTTTAATTTCTTGTCCTCAAAGTCTTAATGACAGCTGATTTGAAATTTCTATTCCACTATCACAAATTTTCAAATACGGTTCTGTCTAAAACTAGCCAATCAAATGCTGTCCGACAATTGGAAGCTAGCCTGCCGACTAGTAGCACCTTCTGTCCGAGTACTGGCAAAACAGCAACTTTTTGATTAACATTTTTTTACAAAATTACAGGAATATCTACACTACAAGCAATGCATTTGTTGGTCCGCGCAAAGTTAACAGCATTTATGATCACCTCCATAAGCATTAGTTGTGTTATCTTGAACAAAAAATTCGTAATAACAATTTTGTATTTCACTTTTGTCTAAACAGTCCGACCAGTGGCACATTCACCCTACCTCGTTCGTGGGCTAACAAAATAACAATATGTAAATATTTTAAAATTAGTTTACAAATGAATGTATTTGTTTATAAATTCTATATATTATATTCACAATATATTATTATAAGAATCTTTTATATCTAATAACATTGATTTTCGATCTGGGAGTATTGAGCTTATTTTTTCAAGACAGATCCTGAAGATTTGTTCAATTTCATTCGGAATTTTTCTATAAAATGCATGGCTGAGATATTAATAACCTTTTTATGTTTTAACTTTCTGAATTTGGGGAATTCGTATATTACTATTAATTATGTGCCTGATATGACGCTGTTATGAGTTGTGTAATATTTGCACTGGAATTTTCATACTTGAATTGTCTGGTGGTAAGTTTTTTTTAACAAATACTCACCCAAAATCCATTACCCCTCAAAACTTTGTCGTGCATTGTATACAGGATGGTGTAACAATTTGCATTTATGGGAAAGATGCTTCTTGTTCATTTTGTAAGTTGCAGAATGTGTGTCGACAAGAACGATTCTGTTTCTGATGACTATATTTGTTAACGCGGTTTTTTGATACATGAAATTATTTAAATCATAATTTCTTTGTGTGCAATTAATCATTAATCGGTAGTGTCGTTTGTTAATTCAAGGAAGTGGAGGTGAGTAATTAAGCTAATTGGCTACCGTGATACTTGCATATTAAATAAAATCGTCTAATTACACATACTGGATACTTGTGATTAAGCTTGGGTATCGATTAAAGCTAGATTGTCATTTTCAGATAACTGCCCTTGAATTTTATAAAATTTCTTACAGTTTCAAGTATACCTAAGCTGTGCTAGTCACTAGTAAAATGGCAAATACTTCAGATAGTATTCTCGGCAATGGAGGCATATAAAAGTGAAATAAATGAAAAAGGGTTTACAGATTAATCACATCTTTGCTATTTTTAGAATTTTAGGGCATAAGTTTCTTTATACCGGAGCAGCCGCGTAGCTATAAACCTAAATACCGGAGGACCGCAGCTGCTTAAGTAGCTTAGCCTCTTTTTTAAGAGTTTTTAGTGCTCGAAGGTTCTATCATCATTTTTTGTTGAGAAGAGGAAGAAGAAAAAGGAGAAAACGGGCTGCATAGCTGAAGTCTGGAAACATGCGGACATTTTTAAGGCACTCTGGAAAAAGCTAGATGGTGATACCTCCTCGGTCGACTGCTCCTTGACCTTCTTTTTGTTTGTAAATTATGTTAAATAGGCATAAAGTGGCCCGTTGGCGGATTTTCGGCACACGACATTTGGTACTGAGGTATTCCTTAGCGCGTGTGCCACCACTTGAACGGAAAAAAGTTGTATACTGAGTGCAACAACTTCCGAAACAAACATTTGCCACAGCCCCATTCAGTAGGGAGTAAAAGTTGAAATATTTAGCATGTATCTTTTCTTCTTATTTTGGCGAGCTAGCTTTGTACGCCTTTTTATACTGAAATATTGCAAACTGAGGAAATACAACGAAAATACGTTTTTTTTGCTCAAGTTTTATGATGGGGTGAAGTGCGTACTTTTTCTGTTCAACTTCGCGATTTTTCAAAAAGAACCTAGTGAAGAAAATGAAAAAGTGGCTCTATAGCACCCTGTGGGGTTTTGCTTTCAGCACTCTGTGAAAATTTCATCCAAAAATATCAAAAAATAGAGCGTCAATTTCGAAGCGCGCAAACCTCTACAAATCGTATTTTGGACGTATTTTGTCTACTGTTTCGTGCTGCCAACCCAAGCGTTGCGGTGCAATGTACGGACGAAGAAAGGACGTATTCAGATAATTTGGTGGCCCTATTTCATATAATATCCCGTAGATAAGTCGTTCTGCAAATAGGTACTCATAATCGCGATCGCTGATACTCCTCGATTTTAAAGCCGTTTTACTTCCCACGTCATTGGCGAGGAAGTATTGTAATCGCGAAAAATTTCTAAAATGAGATGTTGTTTTTTTAAGTCATATGAAAAACTGTATCACTCATCAACTTGGAAATAACCGCTCGGATTTTTATGAAATTTCCACATGGGGTTACTAGTATGCCAAAGCTTTGTAGTTTTAGTCCAGTGGCAACGGTGCTATAGGCAAAAAAGAAAAAGTAACAATTGCTGAAACTCCGTTTTTGACGATACAGGGGTTCCTTATCATTTACAAAAAAAATGGTACTGCTTAAAAAGTGGGGGTTGGGGGAAGGTGATTCTGAATGTTGCATATCATATCAGTGAAACACGTTCTATCATTAAGAAACTTCTGATCCCAGTGATTACAGGAAATTTAAGTAACGAGAATCCGACGAATAATGTGCTCACGATTTGAAAAAATCGGTACCTGCTCTACAGATTTGACACCAAGAGCCAACAGATCTATCTGCAACTGCCGACAGTAGGGAAGAATGAATTCAGATATCACTCCAGTCAAGTATAGGGGAATTTAGCGTTGAACTTTAAAATTATCAATATGTCAAGGAAATATGTTTTTGAGAACGATAATTTGGTAGATTTTATACTTGCATTTTCATTTGAATTTCATGACCCGTGAAATGTACCCATTTCGCCGTTACGTTCAATTTGTGTTCTGCAGTTTGTGATGTTTTTCTGGACAGAAGCAGGATATAATTATTGCCTAAGGTGCTATCAGAGCGTTTTACAAAATTTTGTCTTTGCGCAAGAATTATGGTGGGTTGAAATACTTAAACTTCTTGATATTTTAAAAAGATCCTAGTGGATAAAATCGAAAAAGTGGATCGTTAGCACGCTGTGGACTTTGTTTTTAGCATGTTGCAAGAGTTTCATTTGGAAATAATCAAAAATGAAACGTAAGCTGTGAAGTGCAAATCGGTTTTTGGGCGAAATTCGTCTACTGTTTCGTCCTGCCAGTACAAGCGACGCGACGGTGCGTTCCGCCTAAGAAATAATGTATTCAAATAATTTGATATCTATCCTAAGATAAATTCAAGAACTCAAATTACAATTCGTTTATTCATGTCAGTAAACACAATTATGTTTACAAGGGTCATGTGGTACATGGTAACAATTGAATGAGAGTCATTAAAACATCTTATAATATAAGAGGAAACAGTTAGGTAGTTTTTGCAAAGCAATAAACAGGTAGGCCTGGATTATACATTTCTTGTCTACTGTAATAGGTAGATAGAGGCGATGCTGCCAGAAATGGATGTGTGCGATCAATAAACAAACCACAAGACTGAACTGCGGTGTCCAATGATTTTTGTATTGCTTTTTTTATTGCGTTACTAGAAAACTCTGTTGGGTATATGATGGAGTTTACTAGAACTTTACAGCTTGTTGTCTGCCTTCTTCTACAAACTTCTCCAAATCGAAACGCGGTCAACCTTATCCTCCGATGAAGGCGCGACAAAGTACAGTCCTGTAATTTGGTGACTTGTTCGATCTGCAAAATCTCGTCGTCACTTTTTTCAAGTTTCCCGAAAAATTTTCGCTTAGCAACATCCAAATCAATGTAGTTAATGTCAGGTTTTTGATTGAATTCGCCATAAAACTATTCATTTTCTTTGGAATTGCTATCCGAATTGTTAGTTATTTTTATATCAGCTTTTTTTGGTCTGAGTTTCTTTTCAAGGTTCTTGCGTTTGAGTCTTTGTTCCATCGTAGCGATAAGAAGGCAAATGTACTTAGACCACATATACAGGCCGCTGGGTAGTGTGGCTCACTACAGCTGCAGCACATCTTCCATGGTATGACCTCTTCTTGCAATAATTTATTCGCTTACCCCAATGTATTTTGCGATTATAGAGTTGAATTGCTCCACACTATTGTTGACCTCATCATGAATTAAACTCACTGCATTCGTAATTAAAATGTTCGCATATGTCCCTTTATTGTCCATTATCAGCCTTGATAAAAAAATTCACTCAAGAAAAATCACAGCATCAACAATTCAACAACACAATATCGACGAACAATAACAATGGGAGAAAAATACTAAATGATCGCTTGCTGAGTACCAAAATAAGAAACGATTTACTTCTAGATCGCTAAGCGAAATCCGACTCTGTTATTATGAAAATTTACCTTGGTATGCACCCGCAGTCATCCTTTCCTCTTTTAAAGTAGCGCCGACGACCGTCTAGCCCCAACCCACCCTCGTTTCCTTTCGATATCATTAAATTGTTTACCTCATTAGAAAAATGATATGTCGTTTGGGCCCATTAGCAAATAACAAATGTCTGAAAAGTGTTCCTGTGTGGTCCAGTATACTATAGCTGTTTTTGTTTATTTAAGATATAAAAAATAGTTTGATTTGTTATAAATTAAGCTATTTTAAATAATTTTAAGGTCTTTCTGCTTGGGGAAGAACGTGGGGCAAGCTGAAAAGAGGTGACTCCGCAGAGGAAATCAAAACAGCTAGTGGTAAAAAGCGAAATTTATCATATTTGAAAAAACAGAAATCACCAGACTCGTTCAACGACACATTCACTACTTCTCTATACCGCGAAAACGATCCTCCAGATTTAAAATTATCACAGACAGATTTGAGGAAAATATATGACATGTACAGGTAAGAGTTCATGTATTATTTTTGAAACAGTATTATAATATTTTTTTCACTACTGCTTTTTACTGAAAAAGATAAATATACTCATACATCACTGTAACGCAGACTTTTTATTAAAAACTTTTCTCTGTGCTCAACCTATTTGAAATAATGATGAATGTGGTATGAATCCTAGAATGATAGTATACAGGTTCATCAGTGATTATAAAAATCGTATTTTATGCTTTTGTTATTCTCATGAAAGGTTGTAAGAGAAAGCTTTTTCAAGTCGATTAAAAATTGTTAGGAACCAAAATCAACCTTTTGAACATATTACCATTTATAAGATTTACCTTCGACCCTATTATTTGAATCGATTGAGGTAACTTCTCTAAATATTTTTCACACAGAAATATGAGCGATAAACCTGAAAAAATAACGAAATACAAACGCAAGGCAAGATGCATCTCTGATAATTTGGAGTTAAGTCAACAGCAGCTGCTAGACTACTTAATTCTGATGAAACCGTCACCAGATGAGCTAGACAAAATATTTGGTGAGATCGCAGAGGAGAACCTCAAGGCGTCTAGATTGAGCAGCGTTTCAGAAGGAAAGAGGTCCAGGACTAGGTCTAGGATAAAATCATTCTTTTCCAGGTACGTTTTAGAATATTCTGCACTCTACACACAAACAAAACAGTTTCACTGTAAACTGCATTTTATTTGCTTCAAGATTTGTTTGGCCAATAAAAACAGCACTATTGTAACGAAAACTCTGTTTTTGCTATTTAAAATCTAATTTATTTCTTTCTTACAATACTTGGAACTAATTTATTACAAATTTATGACTATGTCGACTAAACTATCGCAACTCGCACTGTTGCTGACTCATCGCCAACTTCTACTCTTCTGCCGTCTGCGTGCCTATTTCAAATCGACCAACCAAAAGCCTCCCAGACAGAACGCGAGCCTTGATCGAAATTGTCTAGGTAGCTGTCTATTCGTCTCGATGGGAGTCGATATTTCTCGATGACGCCGAGAACGCTCCAGATATTCTGGTTACCCTAGAGCCGATGTACGAGGGTATCTCACAAAGTTCGAGTTACGAGGGCGTCACAATATAGTAGATAGCAGGTATAAATGAACATCAAATGATATACTTTTTTAGATCATCGAGCAAATCGGACGATGAAGGCGATATCCGATTGCATCCGAAAAATTCATCAACTGATAGTTTGACGAGTCTGTTGAATTTCATAATGCCTAGCAGAAAATCATCTCTGAACGCATCTCCAAAGTTGAATGGTAAATTCAGGTCTGATGAGAGCGGTTATGGTAAGTAGAATAAGTGAAAAGTATGAAATCAAAAGAAAAAAAAGGTCATTAGAATTGGCTTGTAATTTTTATAAGCCTTTTCAATGTTATGATATTCCAAGGTATCTTACTTTTTATATTTTATTTCGTCGATTTAATGTACTATCTGGTGTTTCGGTCATCACGTCATAACTAACTTCCCTTTCTTTTGTTAACTATCTTGTGCTTCATTATCAAGTCAGTTGTATTTCACAATTCACAGCACCAAACAAATTAATATTGCGAATCAAAGAGATTTTTGAAGAACGGCTGTGAACAATGGGGATTCGACTGATTTTCACTCCAAAGTTGGCCCTTTAAGTAACATTACAGCTAGCCCTATATCACCTTCGAATTGTTATTTAAAAAAAATGAATTTTCATAATGTTTTCTCATAAAGTATTATTCCTGGCCGCATGCGATTGAAATATGTTATAGAAATACTCACAACCTATCAACCAACTTCTGTTTTATTGGAAATACGGGAAATGACAGTAAAATACATTTAACAATTCTAAAAAAAATATATATAAGCAGGAGAAATTGCATTCTTTATGATGAATTAAACGTGCACATTCAACATATTGTATAAGTCCCAGAATTTTCTGAATGGTGGCAGATGTAAATATACGGGGGGTTTTAAATTCGACTTTCACCATTGGGGTATTGCCCCGATAGCACGAAATATTCATTATATATTCATTTAATTTTTAATAATATTTTTATGTTACTTAAATATTTGTTTTCTTAAACAAATATTTAATAAATATTTGTAATATAATATTTTTATTAAATATTTCTTCAATATCTTTTAAATATTTTAAATAGAATATTTATTTTATAATATTCATTAAATATTTACTTTTCAATTAAGGGAAAATACTGAATCTCCAATATTTACACAATATTCATTGAATATTTTCTATGATTTTAAATGTGACTTTCACTATGATAGCGTGCTTCCTGTGTACCTCCAAGTGGTGCATTATTTGAGTGTTTTTTTGTGGAAAAGGGAAAAGGGTAAGTTTTTCGATAATTACATAGCATAATTTAACTGACTAGTAAACATTATTGTGCCAGCTGAGTATAAAGATATTCACAAGACCATAAATAACTAGCCTTGAAATGTAACAGTTATTTGGTATTGATGGCTTTATCTGAAAATGGATACGAAAATTATGTTCATAGCATCCCAATGAAAAGGCATATAATCGCAAATTGATCGAGATACATCAAAAAAGCTTTTTTTAAATATCACAATTATTATTATTATTTTTGTCGTAGTCGTTCAAAATGTTAACAGTCAAAAATACTATACTTTTGTCCCTTGAATTATAATATAAAATCACAAAATAGTTATGGCTAAAAGTTAGATCACTTACTAAATTAGTCAAATTAGGACATTTTTCATCAAGACATAACAACAGACAACAACTAATTTTCTTAAAAATCAACCAAATCTCGAACTATCATAGACAGAAAATGAAATGGGGTCCTTTTAGGTGCATTATAGAGCTGCTTTTCAGTGACCCAGTTGAGCTGCTCGGAGTAACTCAGCAGTGCTCAGCACCAATATTGTTCCACTGCATCTTATATTCCCAGAAATACACTGGAAAGCAGCTTATGTATTCAATAATACTTCATGATTAGTTTGTTTCTTTTCAGACGAGGGGACTTGCAAGATGCAGAAGAGGCTTAGAATGTTTTTTAATAATATTTTTCTAGCAAATTAAACGATTATATTAATTTTCTTTCTAGACCCAATTTTATATAAGCATTCCTACAGGTTTTGCTAAAATAACCAATGAAAAATTTTCTATATACGCTAAAAATATGTATCAGATTTATGCTTGAAAATCCATACATATTTACGAAAAATATTAGATATTTCATCAAAATATAAAATTGATATTTGAAAATCTTTCCTCATATATTTTCTAAATATTTAGAAAAAAAATCGCAAAAATATATGAATTATATATACTGCAAATATCTATAATGAATATTTTATAAATATATAAAAAATATATTTATTAAATATTAAAAAATATGTCGCTACAAATATTTAACAAACATTTTTTTAAAATATTTAATAAATATTTAATGCTATCGGGGATGGTAACCGCTAAAGATACAAGTCAGTTAAATAAGGACGATTTAGGTAACTAAGAAAATGGCCTGCGAGAAACGGAAAGAAACTGAATTTTTCCAAAAGCGTTTTCATTTTTCTTGACTTTATTTAAGATGGTAATTCAGGATAAGAAGTACATTAAGAATGCAATTTCACCTCTACTAGATGGCATAATTAGAATATCAATAATAGGACTCCTGCCCTTAATCATCGACTTTATTTTTTCAGAAAAAAACAGGGAAAAATAAAAACGATTTAGGGAAAATTCAGTTTTTTCCGCCTCTCCCCAGAAATACTCTGAATTGCAGAACTTGGTGAAATTTTCTTAATTACCTAAATGCGGAGCTGTACCCCTTTTTTCCTGTCTTCGTAGCTTCAACCGTATTCGGTATATTCATATATACATATGTGTCACCACTCAGAAAATCCTATGTCACGCGTATCGTATGGACGATTATATGTACGAGTATATCATAAAAATTGGTGCAAATGCCAATTCCCCGTTGTTACGCGGATACAGCCCTTAGTTTTTGAACAATTTCGATATATGAATAAATTGCATTACAAATTATCGACCTGGGAACAGAACTTATCACATCTTAAAAAATATTTTTTGCAGGTAGTGACTCTACAAAAGCTGCTAGCATCGATTCCCCCATTGGATCTGTCAAGTCCCAAATTAGCGAGAATAACGGTAATCGATGAATATTACTAAAAAATTGATTTTATCCGCTGACCTATCGGTATATATATGATATATTTTTGGTAACATCAGCGTGGGCTGCGTTTATACCTCTTATTAGTATTAATAGTTTTTGGTGGATTTGGAAAAAATTATTAAATCAAAATTACGTCGCTGTCATTACCAATATGGATGAGGTTCTGCCACTTTTTCGGAAAGGAATATCGAACTTAATTTTTAAATTCTAGTTTGATGTTTTTTGCACTCATACATATGTTATTTACTCCTGAGGTCCCAATAACGAATTTTTACCAATATCGCAACATACAACGTTACAATGCAAGTTTCGACTATTTTCGAATCTGTGATCCTTATGATAGGAATTCAGAGCTTCCATATTATAGTGTAGTAGCTTAAGATTTTGTCGAAATGTACAATTAAAAAGCTATGACTATCGCCTAACCTTGTTACCTGGCTACTGTTTCATACGGTTGAATTAGGTCTGATGAAATTCTGTTAATAAAAACGTTAACGCAGCAAAAGTACCGACACAGCGGATGGTAGGCAAGTAATAATCTGTGATAGGTCTGAACCTGTCCAAATCTTGCAAAAAATACTTAGGAATATGCTCACAGCAGGTTATCCATAAGTACATGCTTTTTAAATTTTCATAACTTTCAATTCTGCGTACTAATACAAAACCCTCTTGATTCTTTTTATTCTCAAAATTTCTTTAATGTGTATAAATTTTGAATATATATTTTAGTATACGAAGCCGACACTGATACAGCAGAAGAAGACAACGATAACGAAAACGATAGCAAAAATGATGGCGACATAACATTAACAGAAATAACCATAAAACCAGTAACCCCATACAAAACCCCACACAAAAGAGTCAGATCGAAAAGTGACGACGATGAAAGGGACTCTTTTGTGAAACGAGCTGCATCTTTCAAACGATTCTTATCACCGCCTAAAAGAACCAAGGCGACAGAGGTAATGGCAACTATTCAAAAATAACAGAGTTCCGAAAGTTGGGACTTTCTTTTCATAAACAACTACGTTTGAAATAACTAAACCTGATGTTCGGTAGAACAGCAGCGAAAAAGTAAAAAAATGAGGAACATCACTACAAAATACTAACTTTACATATTCGTTAAGAATTCAAATAATGAAATCGAAGTAAAAGATGCTTATTTTAATAAATACATAAAATTAGCCATTTCCCCGCATTTCATTAACAAGATAGCAATTCCCACACAAAAAAAATAGAAATAAAATAAAGATAAAATGATTAGATAGGTATTTAAACAACGAATATTTTTTTCCCTATTCGATTATTAGAAAAAAAAGGAACTATAACGAACTTATCCTGTGGTGGTCCAACGTTTTTTTTTGGAGTGCCCTCAAGAAGGAAATAAATTTTTCCGAAACGTCGGCAGCTTTATAACAAGAAACTGTGTTTCTTTAGACCCCATATCTAATTAATTACAAGAAATTTTGTGAATTATTTTTGATACCAGCAATCGAAAGAACGGAGAATTTGATAATAATAATAATAATGTTTATTTGTAAAATACAATTCTCGAATAAAACAAATAAACATAAAGTACCCGAATATTTATCAGATCAGGGTCACCTAAAATGTTATAAGTTTGTGAGCGTAGTGAAGTTTAGCAGGATTGTTGTTTCTTTAGTCACTTTGGACTCCAATGGTGACATTGGATTCATCTTGAACCTCACATTCAAGTCATTGAAAGGTCAATACTTGTTTTTAACTGGAAACCGATACCGACAATGGAAACTTTTACGTAATACCTCCTCATGTAGTATTATGACCTAGAAGCTGTGGCTCAAGGTCAAATCCAAAGTCAATATGGAAATCCTTATCGAAAGTTACCAACCATAATTTTCTCATCAATGATTCTGGTAAGCCTCTAGGCATTTTCCCTAGCCTCACATATTTGACCTTCATTTGACCTTTAGAGATAACCTTTTAATACGTTTTCAAACGTATATTTTCCTTTTTTTCGATTTTCGATGTATAAAAGAGGGATTTCCATACAAAAAACAAAATTTGCCTGGAGGATGTGGCTCAAGGTCAAATTTAAGGACACCAATGAACTTCTTGTTCAAAATTACTATATACCTGACCTTAATTTTTGTTACACCCGGTGTTTTACTGGGAATAACTTATTTTCAGTAAGTCCCAATATTTAAAATACCCTATATAAGTAATAAATTAGTCTCAGATCATGGTAATTTTTTATTTTTTTAAAGCCCCTTTTTTGACACCGGCAACCGGAAGAACGAAACATTGTACGTCAGAACATGCATTAAGCCCAAGATCAAGATCACTGTAAAGTTAAATAAAGGTCAAATGTGCGAGAGGAGGGAATATTTCTATTATAAGCTTAGCCAGATTAATAAAGAAAAAACAGGTAAACTTTTGACGAGCATTTCAATAGTCACGTTGGATTCAACCTTGAACCTCTTTAATACCGCGACTGGAAAATTTTACGTTCTCATGTACTCATATTGGTAACCTTGAATTTGTTACACCCGGAATGTTACTGGGATTAACTTATTTTTGCAAGGACTATACGTGCTATAATAGAAAGTCCCAACATGATCTCACCTTGTATAAGTCTTAACTTGGCTTCAGATCAATGCGAGGTGCTTTGAGTATTTCTTGCAGAACAAAAATGATTTGCTGATGAAATAATTAAAACTGCTGGCAAGATGTTTAATACCATTATGACTTCGATATATTTTTTCATTGTCTTAATTTTAGGCTGATAACGACGATAGTCGCAGTTGTTGTGAGAGGATCAGCAAATTAAAGCTCAACGAAGAAAGAGAAAAACCGGAAAATAAGCCACTGCCTGATCAGCCTAGAGATGCAAGGCCAAAACTTAATAGAAATGATAGAAACAGACAGAGTTTTGGAAGGACACCTGGGTATGCAGCCAAAAACACCCCGAAGGACTCTACTACCAAAAGGTATGCTGATGCTATTACTACAGTATATTCAGATAAGAGATAGACCGGACATAAACAAGACCACGTGATCATCGAACGCTGTAACATTCGGCAGGGACGTATTAAGAGTCACGCAGTACATATTTTAGATAGTAGATGCTGCTTTGCGTAACTTTGTAGTAAATTAGCACAATTCGATGTGTATACGATTGGTGATGGATATAGGATCATGTAGGGGTGGGGTAAGAAATATATAATGATGTAAATATACATAAGGGTTTCAAAATTTTCGCTTCGATTTCCAGCTTCGGATGCCGCCTGATGTTTGGTGAAATACAGTCGAATATAATCTCAAAATGGCGTTTAAATTAGCCTAAATTAAAAATAATCGTATATCTCTTAAAATTGCTTTTAGAATATTGATTAGTATATTTTTTGATTTCTAGGTAAATATGTAACCAAATTAAAACGTTCAAAACGTAAAAAAATGTGCATGGTTGAACATTGTCAGAAAATAGATTCTTAAATAGGTTTTGGCAAAATGGGTTCAAAAATGTCAATAATTAATTAAAAAATACAGTAGCTTTATAATTACTTATAACTTACCGAATTTGATGAACGACATCTTTTATTGGAAAGATGAGCTTGATGAGCTTTCATCATCGCTACCGCCTGAAGCACCAACGTCAATAATGAATGGCTCGACTTGTTCCTCTAAAATATTGTCCAGTTCCCATATTCTCTTTTCAACTTTGTCTTTCACGTGCTTAATACAGTTTTCCCATTTTTGCGCTGTTATTAATTCTAGTGCTTCTTTGAAAAGTCCTTTGAGGTCACAAAATTTAAAAGTTGTATTGTGCTTAGCTATATAATTTTTAACCTCTGCCCATATGAGCTCAATAGGATTGAGCTCGCAATGGTATGGAGGTAAACGGAGCACAGTTTTATTTTGACTTGCTGCCATTTCGTCAATGGCGTATTTTTGATATTCCGCCTTGTGATCCTTGACAATTCTTAATAATTGTACTTTCAGCATTGCTTCTTCAAAGTTGATATTTTTCGAGCGGAGCCAATTTTGAACATCAACTTTCCTTGAAGCCGTTGTTGGGACCTTCTCCATTCTTCGAGAATGATAAGGCGCATTATCCAACACAATTACTGCGTTTTCCTCTAAGTTCGGTAAAATTTTTGAAAACCACTATTCAAACGATTCGCCATTCATTTCCTCGTGGTAATCTCCAGTTTTCTTAGACTCAAAGCACCACAGACCGTCAACAACAAATCCATCCTCACTGCCAATATGGCAGATAATGAGCCTTTTCCCTTTACCTGGAAATCGAAGTACTAACTGGTGTAGGTTTATTTCAATAAGCGAACCTTTCCAAATGTTTTCATCACATTCAGCGAAAAAAAATTGAGACATGAGTATCAGATTGCTATAATTGGGATTATTTAGTCATATTGAAAGAAAGAATATTGAACGTCGTATGATTACTCAGCGCTTCACAATTTAATTTAAAGTTATAAACCTTTAAAAAATGAATGATCAGGAACCTGAAATACGCGCAAATATTAATATTAACAAATTATAACTTTATAAAGCTTAAAGTATGAATTAAAATGATTAGAAATATTAGGAACGGTACACAATATAAAACTTAGTAACTTTTTTCAAGGTTATAATATTCGACATATTTTAAGATTATATTAAAAAATTATTGAAATATCGAAAACACATAAAAACATGGCTTAAAAAAGTTCTAACAAATGAAAATGACAATAAAACATCCACGCATTTTATCGAAAGTTATAAAAGTTTTGTTACTTGTAATATGTTTTATCTGCCCCCTGGAATTAATGTTTAGAACCTTGTTCCCAAGGTTTGAAAAACATCCGATTGTTGTCTATTACTCGTATTTACCTGCTGGATTTTTTAATCCGGCGGACAGTCCATCTAGAAAGGCCCTCCTGGATGAAGATACAGAATCATCAACCCATACTTTACTTGTAGTGTGTCCTGCGTTTACCCACGTTTCATCAAGGTAATAAATCTTCCTGTTTTGATTTCTATATTTCCCAATTTTTGTTAAATAATCCCTCCTCCATAGCACAATTTCTTCTCTATCCAGTAGTAAACTATTACGACCCCGTTTTTCCATTTGAAATTTAAATGCTTCAGTAACGCATGGAAAGTTGATCGTTTGAAATTTGGCAACGTTGTATCTCCATTTACCTCCTGCAGTACTTTATCTATAGTAGGTATTTCATTCCTAAAGAAGAATTCATGCACTTTCCTCCTAATCGCATGCTTATCAGCTTCATCCAATGATTTAACAATACTTTTGCGATGTTTACTGGTCATTGGCTCAGAAAAGGTGTGATTTTTTTTGTATTGTCTTAACACATTAAACACTGATGCGCGACACACCCCAACTTTGTGAGAAACCTTCACAACAATTTCTTTGATGGTTGATGCCTCGTTCTCCTCGCGCTCGATCTTATATATATTCAAAATGACCTCTTTCATTTCTGCACTCAGGTGTCTTTTTTTAGAGCGTTTCCTAGGTGGACTACAGGAGTTTACAACTTCATCGGCAGTATCTGTACTACTGGGCATTTTGCGCAAGCAGTTGATAACAATAACAATCAATAACAAGGTATAACAATAACAACGACAAACTCAACAACTTAATAAGATAACAAACGAAAACGTCCAAAGAAATATCAAATTGCAATGATGCACACGACATACGTAACACGTCTGAACCTGAATGTGACTCTGCCTTGATACGACTGCTCTGCCGCTCGGCATAGGCATTTAATTGCGAATTGACCAATGAGGGCTCCTGTTTTACGTCGAGACGGCGGCGTTAGCGTGAAAATCACCCGAACCTTTTGTTTACATCCGGTCTATCTCTTATCTGAATATACTGTAGTGCTAATTCTAATACTGCTTCAAGGAGTCCTTTTATAAACAACCTGCATTTCGATGTCTAGCTACGTCATTGTGAGCCAACAAGTTCGATACCAAATATTCGACTGCTTTAATTTTTTGCGGTTCGAATAAAATGGAATCTCATGTATCGCAGTTTGCTTTATTCTAAAATGACATTTACCGTGCAGGTTGCCACAAGTACAACGGATGAGTCCTGCCAAGAAACAGATGCCCACCATACGCAGCCCTTTGAAACCTGTGGAAATTCCTCCATTGAGACGTAGTGGGAAATACAGCGTGACGACAGCCAAAAAAGACATATCGGGTGATTCAAAAACGACGCCGCCCAGATCTAAAGCTAGTACTAGTAGATATGTCGGGCTATCGGATATCCTAAAGGCAGAAACAAGGACAACTAATAATGATGATTTGGTGAGCCCGGTTTCTTTCAGTGAAAAGCCCAGAAGTAACCCTCCATCAACAACTTTAGACAGGAATCACGTCTTCAAGAAACCGAATGTAGGATCATCCAAGGGTACTCTGGATAAGAAGAGCACAGGTATACTTTTTTTTACAGTACGGAGCTTATATTACATTAGATTGTTGCTACGGCAAACTATTGTATAGGCTTCCCATAATTTCAAATTTTCCCCATAGTTACGTATCGGTTTAAGCTCGTTACGTTCTTATTTTGATAGCACTTTCTCCGGGTTAATTCTCGGAATGAGGGAGTAGAATCTTAGAGCTGTGTTCCTGAACATTTAGAATAATCGCTTCATGAGTCAATCTCGGAGAAAAAGCCGTCTAGCAGTCTCATTTTTAAACGAACGTTGTGATGTTACGTTTGCTATGAAGATCCCAGGAGAATATTATTTTGTCGAAAATAGATGCATTCAGAAATTTACCAGAGTTTGAGATAATTCCCAAAGGAGAAGAACCACGCCCATTTCTTCTCAGTGATTGGAATTATAGGCATCAAACGTGGTAAAACTGTTAAATCTTCACAGGTATGAGGAAATTCTCATATTCATCTGAAACAGCAGCCGCATCTCACATAAATTCTTCAGCGGCAAGACGAATGAGTTCATCATCTGTCCAGATTCCAACGATTAACAGAAACGGGGATATCCAAAGCAAGAGAAGTAATCAACAACAAATCAAAAGCGTGGTGTTTCGCAAAGGGCCCGGATGCAAGTCCTTAGGATTCTCCATAGTCGGAGGTAAAGATTCTCCCAAAGGCCCTATGGGGATATACGTCAAGACCATATTTCCGCAGGGACAAGCAGCAGACTCTGGATTGGTTGAAGAAGGTATGTACTGCATTCTTCTTTCAGGTTGGCGATACCTGTACGAATAGGGCTATTGATGCTGCCATTGAGAGGCGTCAATGGACGACCCTGTCCTTAAAATTTTGGATTTATTGAGTGAATTAATTTCTTTGGTGTAAAATAATATTAGAATAATCTGGTTTTCCATTCTAGGTGATGAAATAATATCGATAAATGGTACTCCATTCCGAGGTTTGTTCCATCGAGAAGCAGTTGCCTTGTTCAAGAGCATCAAGTGCGGAGATGTGCTGGTTGAACTTAGGCCTCGACTCAACTATAAACCATTTTGTAGTTCTTTATAAAAATGTTAATCACTTGTATGCAAATAGGATATATTCATATCGTGGGGCAAGTAGTACAATTTTCTGATGATGTGACAAGCAGCACTTTAATTACGAACTTAAGCTTCCAGAAAGGATTTAGCCTTATACGAGGTCAACCTCAGAGTTATAGTAGACGACAACAATATTGTTTTCGTTTACATTTTTTGCCGATAGTCATAAAACGGCTGTAAAACCAAGAACCAAAGGTATGAGGACAGACGGATCTGAAAGTTTTCAAAAATGTTTCTCTTGCAAGTCTGGATGAGGTGAGAGATGACTAAATCAAGTTGTTGAAGTAACGTTGTAATTAATTATCCCGGCATTAGTTGAAAATTAACCAAAATATACATAAATATATATCTGATGGTAGCGATGTCAAGGATGTAAAGTTACTTACCTAGTTTGCTATGTTGAGGAGCCTTCTTCCAGAAGCACGCACATCAAGATCATTCACCAAATACGTATTTCATTTCACTTTCACAGTTTAATAATGAATTTCGCGTTGCCCATTTGGTGAATCTTAGTAAGTCTTTATTATATTTATTTTCAGTTTGTAGGACTCTGTCGATGGTTTTCTTCCAATATAATTCAGTGATTTGGACTGCCTCGGATCTGATTAGGTCAGCTACAGTTCGGTCACTAGTCAGATTTATGTTCCATCGGCGTATTCTTCTTTTTAGTTAAGCCCATATTGACTCTATGGGATTAAATATACAAAAATTAGGTGGCAGTCGTACGATCACATGCCCACAAGAAGCTTCCATTTCGTCAACCGCATACCTTTTCTCAAACTGTCTTGTTCGGAGCACCTCCAACAATTCTTTTTTTGTATAAGAATCCTCAAAATAGAGATCGTGCTCCACAAGAAATTCTTGAATGTCTTTATTGCAGGACGAGGAATAAGGGACCTTTGCGATTTGTCTGGAATGGCAGCTGGCATTATCCATTACAATGACACTTCCAGGTTTCAAATTTTGCAGCAATCTGTTAGAACACCATTCCTTAAATATCTCGGCATCCATATTCTCATGGTAGTCTAGCTTGCAATCCGCTATTTTCTTGCCAGATAACAATATAGCGCATTTTGAACCCAACCATCTGCTGAGCCACAATGCAGAATGACCATCCGGGATCCTTTATTTGGTGATACACCTATCAACTGTCATTTTGCTGTATCGTGTGTATCGTACCATGTGTTTCATCCAGGTAATATATTGGCCTACCTTCTTGCCTATATTCTGTGATCGTTTCTAAGTAAGCCTGTTGACATTCCACTATGCACTTACTTGCCATGCCATGCCTGTAGATCTCTTGTTGGTAACTCCAAATTTGAAGGGGCAGCCACCTCTGAAATATATGCAGGGAACAACTGTCGCCTGTTTCCAAGAATTCTTGATGTACTATCTCTGCTGTGGGAATTTTATTACGTTTATAATTATCATACACTATGTTTCTTATTTTGGCAGTTGTTGCTGCACTTGAAGGTATAGATGTTCCCTTGTCAATTCTTCTATTTCTTGGTATGACACCGTTACGAATAATTTTACAAATTGTAGGATATGACACTTTAGTCAGTTCGGCTGTTTTTAAGGACACTACTATTGCCGCTATCACCCATTTCATTATGAACAATAATGCAAATCTGTTGAGCATGAACAGACAGGCACTTTCTATTAGAAATACGACGGTATTCCTGACTATCATTGCTACCCTCGTTACTACTATCAGTATCATGCGCACTGACAGTATCACTGTCCGAAAAGTCTTTGCTGCAAGATGGGTTTCCATCATTCATAGCGCCTATGTACATATAATTTTCGATGTCCGTGGGCGGCTGACCTGCCTGAGCAGATCGTTTCCAAGGGCGGAAAAAATTCGTATCGCATATAATTGTTATTCAACGCGTCTTCCATCAACCTGGATCGTCTGCATAGAACCCCATCGCGAGTACCGCTCTGTGCATCGCGCTGGATTCATCTGCGCGCAGCGCTCGGGAGGGTGGTGGAGGGGTTCAGGTCTTCATAGCGCAGTCACATTATGTGAACTTGTTGCATTGACAGTATCGAAACAATGCGATTCTTTTAGATTCGCTACATTCAAACCAATTGTATCAAACTATTAGGGCTTTTTAGGTTATTGCATGATTTATACATTTGAACCAGATTCCGTTATCATTTATACCGCATCATAAAATGACCTACTATATGTCGGGTCGGTAACACAAGGAAGCAGAAAAAATATATACAATATCGTTGTCGTCTACTTTACCAGACCACTTTCTTGTATATCTGGTATAACGAGAATTTAATGAATCTTCCTATTAATAATAACATATGCACTCATGAATTACTTGAATTACAGTTCTGATAGTTCCTTTCTTGGTAGTCAATAGAAGTGTATCAATTTCTATATGAATAATAATTGATTTTGTAGAATTTAAAAATGTCGATATATGACTTCTGTACGAATGTTGTTTCATTTACTCAAATAAGAGCTACTTACCTCAAGATGTGTAATATTCTGTCATACACAGCACTTTTATCATATCTTCTAGCTCGAATGTTCGAAAAAGGAAAGGTAAGTTGCGTCATGATCACAGGTACACAAAAAATGGGAAAATACGAATCTGAAGTCAAAATAGGGGAAAATGCATGTTTTTTTTGTATTTCATCTCGATTAGTCACGTAGATGTAATACCGTAAACACATATTTCACTTACATAAAACTGCAATGCGATTGACGTTGATTTAAACGCTGCGCTTCACAGTGACGTCATGACTCACCATTTGTTATTTGATCGTATTTTTGGTTAGATCACTGTTGAGTTGTTGACATACCATCTATTTACAAAGTATTACTGAAAATTACATTTAAAAGCGGCAGGGGTATCACGTAACTTGAAAAGTGACATTATGCCGATTTTTTTTTTTGACATTACGCTGTTTTTTTTGACATTAAGTGGGTATTCTACAAAATATTAACTTAGCACTTAGTTGTACGTGTTTCCTAAACGTCATGAGGCTTGTTATCAATCTTTGGCTCTGATGTGATGTAAAATCTCCTTCTAAGATGGCATTACTGTATGTGTTGATGATAATTACATTGGGTTCTTGTCTCAAATACACTTAATTGAGATTCAAAGCTAGAAATTAGTTGCGCATCCACTTTTTCTTATCCATTCTGGAAATTACATATACAAAATTGCTGAATTTCAAAAATGAGAGAGATAAGAAATAATTATTATAATCACTGTACACTGTTGAATTAAAAGCCATATACAAGCTAACAGTAATTACACACAACGCGGGCGCGGTGATGATTTCCCGTAATTCTCCTCAGTTTTTCGTTATTTATAACTTTGAACATAACCTCTCTTCAGAAAGCAGAACATAAATAACCCGTCATATTCGATATATTCAGTAATGATTTTCTCACACAGCAAATATCACTGATTTTATACACATGCAGACCAATACACATAATCATCCAGATGCGATCTTGCTATTCAACCAACTTTCTTCTCAGAGATAAAAACTAAAGACGATCACTTAGCCTCACAAAAGTATGCAACCAATAATGCGTAGTTTAGTTGAGTGATTCCTCCATAGATGGACGTTCACACCGATCCTAAAACTACCTTGTCTGCAAGTTGACATCTTATAGTTTTTTTTTTTACGTTTTATAGGTTTTTTACATGATACCCTTGCGGGTTGACACTCAATGGCAGTGGGAACAAACGACTATACTTGTAGTAACCGTTCTTGACGGTTACGTCATCAACGCCATATGAAGTAAGTAAACAGATAGAGTCTAGATACCATGGGGGGAACACTGCGCAGCCTAATCTTCAACGCATCTGCTACTCTCTCCAGTACGCATGAAGTGGGTAACAGGGGACCGCTGATCGTATTTCCGGGCATTGTACAATTTTATATTGAAGATTGATAACAGGACAACTCGAATTGCACACCGATGTCAAGTACGCTGTCACTCCGACAAGTATGATTGAACGGCTCTCATACGTAATACAGGGGTGGTAGGTTGCATGTGTATGTATGAGGGAGGTGGAGATATAGAAAGAGATACTGGTACGCCGAGAACGATGACGAAAACTATACCATTTTGAGTCGGACTGACCAAAGGGTTGGCTGATCACACGGCGCAAATGGTGACGTCACGCCAATAGCGTTTGGCGTTGTAGGCATCATTAGTTATCAATATAGACATTAAATAAAATGCAATTGAGCGATATTTTAATGACATGCATATTTCCCATTGGGAGTCGATGGACAAATTTTATAGAAAACCCATAAAGACGATAAAATCCATAATATAGTGATTTTTTGGCTACGTTTGTCCTCGAATTATCTGTGTAATGGATTTCTGCTTCATTTTTTTCCCTTTATTGTTTGTTTCTCTTTGTAACCTCCAGCAAGCCTCCAGACTGCTTCAATATAAAATGGTAAATATACATATTGCATCAGAGATGCACCTCCACCAAAATCTATAATCTTGATGTCGAAGTCACTTTCATAGTTATCCATCCACTCGCCAATTCTGACCTTAGATTCGTGTTTAGCAGGCGAACATATAGTGGGACTTCATTGTAGACCTGTGGTTTAATGAATTGTGAGAAGTGCCTGAAGCTTGATCTTTGTAGCCGGTTGCTCACCTTTTCGGACAAAATTGAACAAAAGTTACTGAACACCGCGAGACGATATGAGAAGCATGTAGAAGGATTTCCCTCCTGGTAGCGCACACTGATGGAGAAAAATTCCACGACACTCAACACTACAAGCATCGTGCGTATTACACCAGATTATCACAGTAAAAATGTCCCAGAGTTCTCAAATCTCTGGCCGAGAAAGTCCATGTCATGCTCTTCGATGCCAAGAAAGAATCATCTTCTGGAGTATCGAAGGGCGTCTACATCACGTATTTACAGGCAAATTGTTCCAAGTTGTCGTACTTTTCGTGTACATATATGTTTTGTGGTCAACATTCCGCAAAATCACCAAAGTGCTAAGCCACAGATACATCCGTAAGCATGGTGGTCGATCTACTTTTCTCTCAAGGGTGAGCTGCCGCATAGAGGCCCAAAACCTGGCAAAAAATACGATATCAAATCCGGAATTCGTCTCTTTGAAGATCACTTCAAAAGAAGCCAAGCGCTTGAGCTCAATCAACCACATATCATTTAGTTTTTTCCGAGTCGGATCCAGAGGTCATTTAGTCATCCTGGGGGCATTTAAAGGTCGTTTCACGGTCACTTCAATGACAAATTCGATCTAAGTCTACCAATTGGACTCAGATGCGTGATCTTATTTTGCAGTAAACTGGCTATATGTCGTTTGATTTAGGTATCGGACAATGGAGTCTTATCAACATGCAGACAACAAGATAAGTTTCAGGCTTTACATTATCCTTATTATGATTCATATTCAGGTGTTTAAAATTTTCCATCGCAAAATACAACGAATGATACAGAACTTCTTAAATTTGGTCCTAAGAAAGGAGTGACGAATGATTTATCACAAATGTCAGGTTTGATTATAATGCAATGGTAAAGGTAGCATTAGCAATGTTTTAATGTAACTCCTGAAACTTATCCTACAGTTTTCATGTTCATAGGACTCCATAGTCGGGCCGAATCAAACACGTACATATGTTTAAATTTCTGTTCATTGCACGACCCTTCAGCCATCACAATAGCCTTTTTCCAAGTACAAGGACCATACTGACAGTAGATTTTGTTTATATCTGTCTTCCAGGTAATTAGCTTCTTTTTTCCTCTTCATTCATATACACTGTGTAACTACATTAGTCTGAAAGGTCATGTTAAGTTGGCATCGCGTAAAACCAGAAAAGTTCAGGATCGTCTGGGGTAGATATTTCCACTCCCAAAAGGACGTCCAGCTCCCCAAAGCGACAAGCGAACATGACGTTATCTATCGTTTTTTTAATGTAATAGACACGTCACCCTTAAAGTTTTTGTTTCCATTGATTACTTAGTGTTTTGCGGTATTTACTTTGAAATATATAACAAATTTGATTAACCCTAGTTACTTTCTTGGTTTTTTTTGTTGTTGTAAGGTTTTCGCATAGATAGTCCACTGTTTGCTGGGAGGGAAGCCCTTTGCGATCCTCTTCCTCGTCGTTCTTCGGTGTGCGCTGAACTGATAAGTATCATGATCATGTCATCGTGGTGTGATTGGTGTGATCGATACTTATTGCCTTTGCTATTGTTTTTCGGTGCTAAGTTCTTGATAACGAAGGCGGTTGTTTCAATATTCACATCTGTATGATTTATAGTATCTGCACCATGAACATGATGTTGCTATATCTAAGTAATGTTATTCGTCCAATAAAAATGGTGAATCTTGAACATCCGAATTAGGAGGTGTCAAATAAATTGCAAAATTATTGAGCTGGTCTGTGTTTGATAACAAAAATCAAAAAATAATGCAAAACAAAATATTGATTAATATCTTCCATAAAAAATGATAGTAAATTCCAATAACATAAAAGCTTAATGGCAACACCACTGATAAAACCCACTTCAATAGACTCACATAGTTTGTAGTAAAAATATCATTTACCTAAACATAATGTTTTGATGTCGAATTAGGTAATGTAACAATAAGACTGTAACGTGATTATTGTAAATATAAATCTATTCTTTATAGAAGATTGTAAAATAACAGATAGAACTTTATCCGTCATAGACTCTCAAAATTTTGTTGAAAAAGTGATTAACTTGGGTTATACCATTTTTTTAGCTGTATAGTGCGATCAAAATTGAGAGTATTGGCTCTTAAAAACCCAGAAATTATAGAATATATATATATATATACGTATATATATATATATATATATATATAAGATTACAAATTTTCTGTTCTATATTTTTCGAACACTGATGATTCCTTCATTTAGATTTATTAGGATAGTAAAAGTTAGTAAGGCACGTAAGTTTATTTTTTCGTACCTACACTGTATTAATCTTTAAGCACAATTTTCAATGTATATAATTTATTATGTAAAATAAGCTACATAATTTGTGTTGAGTTATTTCTAGTTTTGATGTACATATATTTTTTAATTTTGTATCGGATTTACTGTAATCAAGTTTTTTATAAAATAATAAAGCAAACTAACAAAAAATGTTTTTCATTTTATGTAAACAAAGCATTATAAAACGGTATTTAGGATGCTATCTGTCATACGTAAATAGTCTAAGCACTACTTTTTCGTATAAAAAATCTGTCAAACGATATGAAAACACATAAGAACATGGAATCTATACCTCACTTGATAGTTATTATATGATGTATCAATTTCCTACATAATATTCAATTACCTCTAGCCGACATGAGGAGGTGTACCTATATCTACATAAACAGAAGATATAAGGTTTCCTTTCGTTATGCCTGATTGGCTTTGGGATATGGATTTCCTTCTACAATTCCTTTCAGTATGAAATAGCTGAACTAACAGTGGGTGTGTTTCTCATTTGTGTATATTTTATAAAAAAATTAGATCAATTCGTAAGTATTTGTAATCTTTTTATTATATTTTGTTGCGGAAGGAATCAAATATCGTTGCAATTGTTAAATTTAACTGAGGACGCAAATTGGGTCGTCATACGGTAATGTACTGCGTACATTTTTTACCATCGGCATTAAAAACAGAAAATTAACAATTGATAAAAATAAGTTATGTGGAAGGAGGTAGTTAAGAGAACCAAATTCAAGATTACTAATACTTTTTTATGCATTTCGGCCAAATGCAGCAGTTGTTACGGTTAGCACGTGGTTTAATAAAATGAGTCGCTAAAAAATTATTTAGAGCTGATTTTCCAAAACTTTTCCCCTCCCTGTCTTCTGAAAATGAGCTACTACGACTTCAGCCATATGAAACAAATGGAAGCTGTAACATTGCACTCGCTACAGAATATTCTCGATTTACATTAGAAATGTTGTGAATGATGAGAAGATATTCATTGAGAAATTAGTACCATGTATTCAATAGCTATAGCAAAAAGGGATGCATCCATTCAAGTAAAAACAAAAAAGTATACTTTGTTCGCATACTTGAGTTTTCCTTAACTTATGCAAACTGAGCCTCACTTTAAACTCTATCTAGAAGATGACTGATGAGTATATACCGAAATTGGATCAAAAGAAACACTATACCTTTACTTTCCATGTCTACTGAAGCGGAAGTATTGTAATCGAAAAAAATTTCGAAAATGAGTTATGGTTTTTTGGATGTTATATGCCATGTTTATCGCGAAAAACAATTTCATTCTTTTCCGTCGAATTCCAAGGACGCAAAAGCTTTGCAGTTTTTGAAAATCGTCCAGCGGAGGCACAGAAAAAGGCCAAAAACGAAAAAAGTAAAAACCGTTCAAACTGTTTTTTGACGTTTCAGAGAATCCTGATAATTTTTGAAAGAAAAACTGAGTAAAAAAAAAACTTGGGGGTGGGGTGGTAAGGGGTTGAGGATGGGTTATCTCAATGTTTGATGGTACATTTAATCGCTCCCAACATTGGTAATTTTAGGCCCCATCTCTACGCTACCACGCCTGCAGAGGCGTAACTAGGGTAAGGCAAGCAGGGCACGTGCCATGGGCGCCACTCTATTGGGGGCGCAAAGTGACACCTCAACTTTTTTTTAAACAGTATAATTAAAAATAATGTAAATTAACACACAAACACAAGGCACATAAATCGTTTATAATACAAAATTGTTCCCCACAAACACTGGCAACCCAAGTAAACAAGCACTAGCTGGCAACAGTGGCGACGCTTGAAGAATAAACTGAAATCACAATCGCGTACCAGCTGGCAACCTGCCGAACTCACGAGCAATGGCCGGCTGCGCGAAGATCGGCGCTACGGCTTCCCGCCAAAGGAGTCTGCGGGCTGGTTGTTAGTTAGGCTGTGCTTCTGGTGTAAACATAACCTTCGCTGAGTGTTTTTCATCTTATTTTTCTCAACACAGTGAAATATTGTTGAATCGTTTGATTGTCACATAAAGATACAAATTGTGTATGGAGCGACCCTTTCGGTAAGTATTCATTTTTATCGCAGAATATATTTTTATTTGTTATATGATGTCTATAATCACTAATTTTGGAAATTCATTATCGAAATTGCATTTTGTTATATGTACATATCAGATCGTCATTTAAATTTTAATAAATATGACTGAATTACTTTTTTACATTATATGCTGCCCTAGCAAACGTTCGTTGATTTTTTACCGACAAATTTGTCAATATAATTTTATAATTATGTAAACAAATATTTTATAATTTTATTGTCTTATGATTTTTACTTTTTCACCAACAAATTTTCTAGTAGTGACATTACGACAAAATCGAAATTTAGCATTAAGAAAAAAGTTGAGCAACTTTTCACGTGTTTCAATTCTGCTAAAATCATATAAAAAATTAAACTACGCTTGGAAATGCTTTTCCCAACTAATAATTAGTATCAATTATGTTTAAAATGACTGGGTGAACGAAGAACTATTGATTACTCAGTTATGTTTGTTTAATAATTTTTCTCTAATATGATTTAAAAGAAAATATTTCTAATTCAAAATCAAAAATCACTTAATCATTTGTGAATAACGACGTCTTAAAATAAAAAAAGCGTGCCACTGAGAAAATTGATTGTTTTACTGACATTCAAGAGGGTGTGCAATGCAATCAAGTTAAAGTGATAATGTTCTAAGAGTGGAATATTATTTTTTTTTGTAGAATGGACGTGAAAAACGCAAAAAGCGGAAAGAGAAAGGAAAGTGGAGCTGATGGTCGGAAAAGACGTAAAGTAGAGAAACATGAATCGGAAAAATCAAGCAAGTTCCTCAAGGCCTTTTTGAAGAAGTCAAATGAGAATAAATCATCCTGTTTCGAGAAATCACCATCACCTGATGCAGTTTTTTCAAAATCAAGGAATAGCTCTAGCGAATCAGAAAAGGAGGAAATGGACTTATCGCCAAAAAAATGCAATTCGCCAGAAGAAGAAAAATTACCAGAAAATAACATTTTACATACAAATGATTTCGAAAAACTTCCTAGTGAAATAGAAAACCTGATACAATACCATGACATCGGGCATCTGAAATTTGATGAAAATTCTGGGAGAGCAATTGTAACCAACACAACGAGACTAGAAATAATTAAGCTCGGTTGGAAATATTTTCAAAATTCGGACGGGCCATTTCTACCAACAAACAATCGTTCGATGACTCAAAATTGGTTCAAGAAAAAGTTAGGAGATGGACGTGGTGAAGAAGTTACTCGATCTTGGCTGGTGTACTCCCCGTTCAAGAAATCAGCATTTTGTCTTTGCTGCATTCTGTTTTCAAATTCTGAACATCAGTCGTCGTTGGAGAAAGAAGGTGGATTCACCCAGTGGAAGGCACGCGAGAGGATCATCATTCATGAAAACTCCAAGAAACATCGAGAAAATTTTGCACGGTGGAAAGAAATGGAGCTCAATTTTACTCGAAGTGAAGGTTTTGTTGATGCAAGGATATTGTCACAGTTCGAGGCAGAAAAACTTAAATGGCGTGAAGTTTTGACAAGAATTCTCCATTGTATCAAGTTTCTAGCTACGCAAAATTTGGCTCTGCGAGGACACAGAGAGCCACATCATATGCTTGACAACTCTAATGTCGGAAATTTTCTTGGTTTGCTGAAACTAGTATCTATATTCGATGAAGTTATGAAAGAACACCTGAGAAACGCTGAAAGTCATCCTGGGTCCACTTCGTATCTTAGCCCATGCATTCAGAATGAATTTCTTCACCTTATGGCATCTGCTGTTCGCTGGCGTTTACTTAAAAGTATTCATGTGGCCAAGTATTATGGTCTCATGTTCGACTCAACTCCCGATATTGCCCATCGCGATCAAATGTCAGAAGTCGTGAGGTTCGTGGACATTGATTTTGAAAAAAAAAAACAGTACAGGTGAAGGAAACCTTTCTTGGCTTTATTGAAATTACCGTGAAGAATGCTAAGGGACTGGCGAATTGTATTTTAGAACAGTTAAAGAAAGATGAAATGGATTTTCAAGATTGTCGGTCACAGTGCTACGATAATGCTGCTGTAATGGCTGGGCACAAAAATGGCGTGAATGAAAAACTGACAGAAATAAATAGACGTGCATTGTTTGTAAACTGTGACAATCACTCACTCAACTTAGTTGGTGTACATGTAGCAAAACAAAATGTAACAATGGTCACTTTTTTTGGAACGATCGAAAGTCTATATGCATTTTTTTCTCGTTCAACAAGCCGTTGGGAAAAACTTAAGGAAGCTATACCAGTTGTCATCAAGTCCAAATCTGAAACCAGATGGAGCGCAAACGTAGAAGCAATAAAGCCAGTTAACAATTATTTGGAGAAAATTCTGGGAGTTCTTGAAGAAATGACCGAAGACAAGAATCAAACAAGTGAAACAAGGAGTGATGCCCAGCAACTATTCAACCGAATGTTGAAGTATGATTTCTTGATTTTGCTGGGATTTTGGAATAAAGTATCATCCGCATTGACCGCGTTCAGAAGAGGCTGCAAGATCCCACGATGAATTTTCACGATGCTGCTGAAGATTTGAAGGCTCTTCAAAATTATTTTGAAAATGAAAGAGAGGCCATCACTGATAGTTCACTCGAGGAAGGGATCATTTTATGTCAAAAATGGGACGTTGCAACTGAAAGACGCCGAAGATGAATAAAAAATATGGCTGGTGAGATTTAGATTGATGCAGGTTTGAGTGCCATGGAAGAAATGAAAAGAGTCTTGAAAGAAACAGTTGATCGTCTATTTCAAGAAATGAACGGAAGATTCGTACGGTTGAATGAAATCGATGAAAAATTTGGATTCCTTCTCGATGTCAAAGGTCTTATTTATGACGAAAAAGACTACGATCTGAAAAAAAATGCAACGAGCTAGGTCAATTCTACGTAAGTGATATTGATGGAAATGAACTTTATGAAGAAATCCTTGACTGCAGGATGTTGCTCACGAGCCGAAAAAACATCATTTCAAGTCCAGAAACACTCCTCGAATTTATTGTTCAGTTCGGAAAGCGTGTTCCCGAATCTTCGCGTCGCAATTCAATTTCTACTGACAATAGCAGTTTCCATTGCTAGCTGCGAGAGATCCTTCAGCAAGTTAAAACTTATACTGTCTTATTTAAGAACTACAATGGGTCAAGCAAGATTGTGCGATTTAGCGTTATTAAGTGTAGAAAGGGATGAAACTGAAAAAAACTGATTTCAATGATCTTATTAATGAATTCGCGTCAAAAAAAGCAAGAAAAGTACAACTGTAATTTTCACGAAAGCTTTGATTGTTCTAACAAATTAGTTAAAGAAATATTATTGTAACGATGCGACGATGCGAGATCTTGTAATAAATAATTTGAATCTAACCTTAAACGTGTTATGTTATTATTGAAAACCAGCATCCTGGAATAATATATAATCTTGAAAATGCAAATTTTATTTCCATTCTTTAGCATTATGATATTGAAACAAATTACGAAGAATTTCTTATTAAATTACTATTAAATTTTTTTTAAATTCATAAGAATTAAAAACAAATATATAAAGATTAAATACAACAAATGAATAACTTTATAGAAAAAAGAGGAGTGGGGGGCGCAATTTTTTCGCTGCCATGGGCGCTACGTCCTCCAGGTACGCCTCTGCACGCCTGCCTGAGTTAGGTATAGGGGAGTGGCGACGTTTCCAGATGTACTACCGGTAGGACAGGGAAAGAATGTCTTTGGACTAATTGTATGGACCTATATGACTGACTTTTTTCTCAGATGGTCTAGTTGTGTACTGATAAGGGCGTTGCGTGGAAAGTGCGCAACCTTCTTGTCCCCTTTTTTTTCATTAGATTTATATTATATAATTATAATAATAAGCAATAAATTTCATTGAAATAACCTTATTTCGGGAGTAACCTGGGTATGGGGACAATAAAAAATTAACTGAACTTAACTTCGTGAGACAGATTTTTGCAATTTTTTATTTATTCACCGATAAATACTTTCTCTCGTATCTCAATTTGTTCATAATGAAACTAATAGCACGAATATCACATATTTTAATCAAATTAACGTATCTATCTCTTGCTTAAAAAATTCAGTGCATAGCTTCGCAGCTACAGACACGTTCCTCTCGTTCAGCACCTACCGATCGACTGTCATTCCGAAGATCGCCCAGTCTTTGTTTTGGATGACATTTTGATATTTTGGTTTTGGAGGCAGATCGATGACAGAGAAAAAGATTCCATATATAATTCAATAAAATACATCACGATTTTCTTATTTTGACGCTTCAAACAAAAAATATCGAAGTTATGGACTATCAGATTTATCTTATAAGACACTCTGTGATATTTATTAGCGACAATATTGAATTAAAATTCTAACCACATTTTGACATTACATTTTTCAGAATTTTGTTTTTGTTTTGTTCTTTAATATTTCATATTACAAGAATAACACATCTCTAAAACAATGTTAATATGATATAAAGGTAAATGAAAGTATTACATTCGAAAAGTATATGCTGATTATTTTAAAGCTACATGTTTGTGGAATGTAAGCAACGTTGGGCAGATATGTATTTCATAAAATCGCTGTCATGACGTGGCCATCACTGCCCAATACGAGGTATGTCTATTAAGTTTTGCATATAGAAACATAGTAGGCCGTGCGGATCGAACGTCAGTACTGAATCTTAACCTCACTCCTTAGTAAACTTAAATTCAAAGTTTCACAACAATACGTGCAGTGTTCTCACTACAGTGAATTTTTAAGTGTCACCAAGTCATTTTCGCTCCATAATTTATTACAACTTTCAGAGACAATTATCGCAACAAGAATGCCTTGCTGAGTTACTGTCTGTTTTCGGCAACGAAGCGCCACATCGGTCGACAATTTCCCGTTGGTATGGAAAATTCAAACGTGGACAAGTGAATCTTAGCGACGATCCCAGGGTGGGTGCACCAAAAACGGCAGTCACCCAGGAAAACGTCGATGCTGTGCGCAAACTCATCATTGAATATAGACACGTGACATATCGCGAGATGGACGCGTCCTTGTACATCTCAATGAACTCAATTCAAAAAATTTTATATGAAGAGTTAGGAGTAAGAAAATTATTTTCTCGTTGAATACCCCACATGTTGACTGAGGTGCAGAAAGCAGCCGGTTAATTGGTGTCAAAAAACGTTTGACCGTTTCAATTCCGGAAACTCAAAAAATGTGTACAGCATTGTTAGTGGTGATGAATCGTAGATTTACTTTTATGAACCAGAAAATAAACGACAGTCGGCTGTTTGGGTGTTCCAAGGTGAAGAAAAGCCAACAAAAGTCATCCGTTCTCGAAGTGTTTTGAAAAGATGGTCGGGACATTTGTGTCAAAAGCGGGTCATATTGCAACAATTCCTCCTAATGAGCAAAGAACTGCTACTGTGGATTGGTATACCACCATTTGTTTGCCAAAAGTCATCACTGAGCTTCGAAAAATCAACCCCGAAAGCAGAATCATCCTCTACCAAGACAATGCAAGCCCAAAAAACAAGGCAGTATTTAACGGAAGAAAACGTGGAATTATTGGACCATCCTCCATATAGTCCCGATCTAAGTCCTAACGATTTCTTTACTTTCCCGAAAATTAAAAACAGACTGCGTGGTCAAAGGTTCCAGTCACCAGAAGAAGCAGTTGACGTATTCAAAAATGCCGTTTTAGATCTGCCACCAAACGAGTGGAATAAGTGCTTCGAAAATTGGTTCGAGCGCATGCAGATGTGTATTAATCTTCGTGGAGAATACTTCGAAAAACAAGAAAGTCATTTAAAACTACCTACCGTGTTGTTTTATTTCCATATGCAAAACTTAAAAGACATCCCTCGTATCCTGACGGAACCAATTCAGAACTAAACCTAAATTAGAATTATGTATGAATAATAATAAATTTGCAGAATCGCGGAAAACTCGTAATTCATCTTATGTTCCTACTTTTGCTGCGTATTATTTTGTTTTGTGATTTTGTTGTTTGAGTGTTCATGGGAAATATAGAACAAATAAAAATGCAAAAAGGCCGTTTCAATTCAAGTAGCTACTATATCTTTCCATGGACCTGCAGTATTTTTTTAAGAAAAAATATGTAAATAGTATTAACATTAAGAATCTAGATCGTAACTCAGAATTGGTAGTCCTTAGTGGTTCTCGCCGAAAACTGGACAACATGACTACCCACCAAGCTAGTGAATCCACTCGATTATTGGCTCATCATACTATAACCAGATACCACCTTCAATCAGACATTTTTGACGGAACGCAGGAAGAGAGTTAAGCAGTTTCAATGCTGTATGTACACCCTTATGCTGTAAGTGCTTTCCAAAAAGTATTGAAAGAAGTTTTGTGCCTATCAGGGGTCATGATAATATTTACAGTATACAATTTCCTTATCTGGCCAACCTCACTGTTAAGTCTCAAGTGTATCTCAAGTGATAAATCACAAGGTATTCGTAGTTTTTACCAATAGGCAAAATACTTAATGTCTTGAAGGATAACATGAGCGTAACGTAAATTTAATGTGAAACGTTTTTTTCGCACTAATCTACCCGAGAACATTTGTTCAAGTTTACGTTGGCCAATAGTTGTTTCTGCACAAAATTTCAGAAATTTATAATTGGAGCATAGTTGATCGGGCCATTTTTCAGTTCTGCATATAATCCTATAGAATTTAAGACATCCGCAGTCATATTTTCGATAGATAATATTGTAATATGTAGTCACACGGATTTGTATTCTTAGGTCAATACTGGCTGCAGGTTTAGTGATAATGTTCGCCTTTAGCGTTAACGTTGATGAAGATACACCAGCAGACAATTCTTCAGTAGTTACGAATACATCAAACGAAATATTGCCTGAACTGGTACTTCTCAACAGAGCATGGCCTTTACCAGATCTGATTCCAGAAAACGATACCTGTAAGTTTTTTATTATTTGCAGCACTTTCCACATTTTGAGGTAGGTACATAAAAATACTAGCATTGATTTTAATGTATGCTAACTAAAGATAGGCAACTCTACCTATACTGAATTCCGGCGCCCAAAAAGAGATCTAATAGAACCTAGCGTCACCTATGACACAGTACCACAACACCAAAATGAATTTAGAAATCCTCTTTGAACAGAGCTGGAATGTTTGGTTCTGCTATTTGTCTCACAGATGGCAGAGATCTTCAATACTTTTTTTTATACCACCTGCAGATATTCAATTAAAATAGGCATTAGAGGCACCAAAAAGGAATTGAAGGTTCCATCGCCATTTATGAGAGGGTAAAAGAACCAACTCTTTTCAAATCAGATTTCCAAATTCATTTTTGGGTTCTGCTAGAGTCTCATAGATGGGGTCTTTCGTGGTAGCAATATGTGTATAACATCTTTTGGCTTTCATCTGTACAGTCGCTTGAACTGGGAAGAGCACGTTTATTTGCCCTTCGCAATCTACTTAATCGCGTGTCTCAAAATATCGTTAAGCAAGCTTATTTCGCTCCAATATGGTCTACGGAATACTGTTATGAGGACATCCCTCGCATGCTTTTAGAGTTATCGCAATACAATATAAAATGCGTGAGGGTGTTGGTAGGACTAGGATACCGGGATTCCTGTGTTGATGCATTTATCAAAATGGGTATTTTGACCTTAACATATATATATATATATAAATTATCATGCGGGGAAAGGTATATAACAAAAAATAGGAAAATATTGGTCAAAATCCGCAAAAAAGAAGGAAAGTGGATTCGAGCAGAAAATAGGATAGGTAACCCGAGCGATACGTATTTCTGCTGGTTGGCTACATCAGACCCGAAGTGAATGCACGTGTGCAACTGCAAAAGTGGTTTTTAATGTCACATTAAACATTTTTAAATTCGAACACTAATCTGATTATTCAATTTATTAAATTCGAATTCTCTCTTTTGAAATACAGATATGTTAGTGCTACTGATACCTGAAGTTAGTACCATCAGCATATAATTTTCAGCTAATTATGATCAAAGATGTTTACTCTGGAAATGATAAAATGGACTTTGGTATATAGGTGACGATACTACTTGGTCAGAGGCAATAGAGGCAGGGATGCAAGGTTTGAAAGAAAAAGACGAAATAGAAAAGACAGTACCAAGCCTAGAAGTTAGGAGTCCAAGTTATAGACATCAAAAAGTTACTGCAACGTCAGATAAAGGCAGGAACATGTCCAAAATTGGATACATAGAAGAATACGCTACCAGATTCATACATAGGTGACTTAGTGTAACCTTTATTCTGTTAATACTTATCTATTTCGTAAAATAGTACAATATATAATAATATTTACAATATCATCAAAGTAAAACAAATGAATTTTAAGATTCCATTCACCAACCTTTAATACCTGATATGGAGAATGTTCTGCTTATCGGAGTCATACTGAGATTACTTATTTTTCAGAAATAAAACGAACAACAACTTAGTGAAAAAGATCTGTAAAAATAGCAACCTTCCTAACAGTTGCTGGCTCACACAGTTGGAATGTAACAGGCTTCATAAATATAGATCATATAATGGGACTTGCAATAACCTAAGCCATCCAACGTTGTATGGGGTAGCATACACCCCTTTCAGGAGACAGTTGCCAGCAGACTACGCTGATGGTAGGTATTTAATTTTGAAGACTTTCTGATAAGAGCAGATATTTTTATTAACCTACCGCTTTGCAAAAGGAATTAGTGGTACTTCCTATAGTAGAGTACGAAAATGGAAAAGTTGTTTAACGCACCGTACGCGACTGTTAACACTGTACGTCTCTGAGTACACATATATGAGGACAAGGTGAAAAATTCTCGGCATTACAAAGATATGGCGCTTCAATCAGCGAAAATTTATAATTCCTGCATGGGTACACATGTCGTTTGTTCGTATAACAAGTTTCACACTTGCTCTTTCAAGTAGTTTGTTTACAAGAATTTTTGAAGTGAACGTCTAGCATGGATTTCATTAAGATAGATAAATTTGTTATCGGGCTGTCTTAAATTCTTCGTGTTCGATATATGCCCTAAGGAGAAGTTAACAATTGTGTTAATTCGATTTCAATTGTTAAAAAGTACACAGCTGAACTTGAACGATGTCGCATGTCCCTTGAAGATGATCTACGTCAAGGACGGAAAAACCCACAAGCCACAAGTGGATGAAGCCATCAAAAATGTCCACTTTAGCGTTTCGGAAGAAAGCACGCAAAACGTCTTGTACAAAGAACTGGGGATGAGAATTCTTTGCGCAGGGTTGGGCCAATTGAATAAGCGTCCGACCGATTTTAGTCGGCGATTGGAAGAAGGAAAAGATCATCCACCTACGGCTACTCCTATTTCCATCAGCGCAATGCACCTGTTCACAAAGGTGCAAGGTTTCGGGTGATGATTTGCTAGACGATTCCCCCTATTCTCTTGATTTGGAACCCATAACGTTATATCTCTCCAAATTTGAAGAACTTTTTTCTGGAATCTTGACACACTCCCACTTCCAAGACAGAACCCTAATGTTAGAGAAACGTTGGACTAAGTGTGTTGGAGTCGAAAGGGATTACGTAAAAAATTAAATATTTTTTTAACTGAATATCTTAGTCTTTCATTATGAGGCCGAGAACTTTTCACGCTACCCTCGTACGCACCGTGGTAACAGATAAGTACGTACGAGCCCCTTCCCACTTCAGTTGTCCCACTTCAAGATTTCTATCAAAATATGCCTTTATAAACTAAACATGACGAAACTATTTACTTCTAAAACAACTTATTTTCTCAAAAACATACTAGATACACTCTAGTCGTAAAAAATATTATTTGAAATCACTTAGACCTATAACTAATAGAACATCTGAACAAATAAACAATGTGCGAATAAATGCGCGAAGTTAACAAAGCAACAATTGAAAGATTACCATTGGGTAACATCACCTTTATTTTTTATTACGGCTGAAATTCTTTGGGGCATAGTGTTAACCAAGTTTTGGCAAAAATGTGGTGTAAAACAATCCTATATTTCTTGAAACTTTTGTCTCACTTCGGTGATTGTACGAGCAGGATGTTGTCGTAGAACCTTTCTCATCTCGTGCCACAAATTTTCAATAGGTGACAGATCTGGACTGCTAGAAACCCATTTCAAAAGTGGTACATTATTTTCTTCCATCCATTTTATTGCCTTTTTGAAGTACGGCACGCAGCACCATCTTGCTGAAACACAAAATCTTGGCCGGATGTCAAACATTCTTCCATCACTGGTAAAAGCGATTCTTCTAAAATTGCCAAATATTTGTTTGTATCCACATTTCCATCAATAAAATGAAGTTTTCCTACTCCTTTTGATGGCATACTGCCCCAGACCATAATGGATGCTGGAAATTTCAATTTTCTCTTCAGACAGTCAACATGGAATGCTTCATTTTTTTTGCGAATAACTCTACTGCGAATGTCACCAACACAAACTTCGAATCGGGATTCATCACTCCATTGTATTGTACACCATTGTTGAGGTGTCCATTGTCTATGTTCTTTAGCCCATCTAAGCCGATTTTTCTTTTGCAGTGGAGGTCATAGTGGCTTTCCTTTGGCCTATAAACAAGTTGTGCAACTTTAGGGTTTTTACTTCACTTTTTTTTATAAGAAAACTTACCTTGCAAGTGCTAAATCCCAGTTTGTGGGCCTCTCTATGAGTTGTGGACCTCGAAATTCTCCTTCCAAGAGCGTCACTCCACAGAGCACTTAATTGTAAATAATTGGCACGCCTGTTTTTCACGATTATTCTTCTTAATGCTCTTCGGTCGGCATTTGTCATATTACTTTTTTTCACAAATCGTGGCTTAATATTAACTGAACCAGTTACGTTATATCTTCTAACAATATTTCTCACATTGTACCGCAATAAGTCTAACAAAGTTGCAATTTCTGAGTTTGATTTCCCAGAATTAAAAAATTTAATTACCAGTAACCGAATTTTCTCACTAATAATAACCTTTCCTCTACCCATTTTGAAAACCTTAACTACCCAAAACTATTTTAAACGTATTCTGACAGCTATGATTAATAAAAAAAATTGTCATGGCTTTTATTTTTCACAGGCACCTGTGCGTTATAGACTTATTTTGCATTGAAATGAAAATAGGTTGATATGCTGTGATTGCTACATGGGTTATTTTTATGCTGCAAATTTGATTAGGGAGTGATAAAGTTGGTGTTTTCTACTATATATTATCAAAATATTCATTGTTAATATTTTAAACCTATAGCACCCTGCTACATTTTTATTATTTGTGTTTGATAAGAAAAAAACTAAGATTTCAATAGTTGGGCCAACTGAAGTGGGAAGGGGCTCGTATGTATTTCATCGGTATACAATGCCTTTGTATTCGTTTACATTTTTTGCCGATAGTCATAAAACTGCTATAAAACCGAGAACCGAGGCATGAGGACAGAGACGGATCTGAAAATTTTCAAACATTTTCTCTTGCAAGTCTGGATGAGATGAGAGATGACTGAATCAAGTTGTTGAAGTAACGTTGATTGTTATAGGTTTCAAATCTCTGAAATGTACGCAGGGAACAACTCTCGCTTCTTTCCATCAATTCTCGATGTACCATTTCTGCTGTGGGAATTTCATTACGTTTATAATGATCATGCACTATGTTCGTCATTTTGGTAGTTGTTGCTGCACTTAGAGGTATTGATGATCCCTCGTCAATTCTTTTTTTCTTGGTTTGACACCGTTTCGAATAATTTTACAATAGGCACGTTAGTGAGTTCGAGTACCGCTCTGTTGCATCGCGCTGATTCACCGGTAACTGTTAACACAGCAGCAGTAGAAAAAATGTATATATAACGAATATAATATCGTTGTCATCTACTATACTCGAGTATATATCTTGAGCTCATTAAATTTTTAGGAATCAGTCGTCCAAGGGTAGGAAAAAATGGGTCATCTCTGCCATCAGCCAGGACAGTGAGTCTGGCCGTGCACAGACCACATTACAGAGATGACCCGAAGTTTTCAGTTATGTTGGCCATTTGGGGCCAATTCCTAGACCATGACATTACAGCTACGGCCTTGAGTAACAAAGCCAACGGATCCACGATTTCTTGTTGTGATCTGGTAGGGTCAATCACATCGCCAGAATGTTTCCCAGTTATTTTGGATCCCGAAGATCCGTTGAGGTAGGTAAGTTCCTCTATTGCATACAATCAGATTGGTGTGTCAAAGGAAGTGTTGAAGGCGGTTTTCCATACTGTTCTAAAAGATACCATTTTTAAACAGAGAATGCGTAAACAAAGTAAAAAAAATCGTAACACCCAATTTAACCAAAGACAGTTGGAAGGGGTCGTCGCTCTTAACGTTTCAAAGGCTTTCTATTGGCTGAAAAGTGATGCAAACGTCAATCCTAAGATCTTCCAAGGATACTTTGCAGATGGTTGGCTTTTTCTCAAATAATTTCAATATCAACGCGGATGTTTCCAATGGATCGGTTTTAGCCCCAACACTGTTTCACTTATCTCTATACACCTCTATAAATGTGAATGTCTATCCAGTCTGTCAGCATCACTACTGAACTACAATATGAAGAGACGTAAAAATATGTTCACTTATTGACACCCGAGGAACGTTATAGTCATACAGATCTCTGCGAATCACGGTAATGCCTACCGTTCTGACGAAAGACCTGGACATTCTCACTACCGGGGTGCAGTAATATGGTGCACTTTTATGTAGTAGTAGTAGAAAGATTTATTTAGCACATTTGGCTACATAAACAGAACAATTGTAAACAACTTAGAACTAGTAAATTCAAGCCATATGGTGTATGATGTAAATGCTGGGCAACCTATAATTGTAGATTTAACAAGTGATTTCTCAATTTTACTTTAAATTTTGTCAAAGTTTTCTGGTCTTTTATCTCCGAGTATAATTTATTATATTGAATCAACCCTTGATGGAATACAGATTTGTAGCATATGTTATACTTTTTGGTCATTAAATGGAAGTCATCTTTATTTCTGGTATTATGTAAATGATGGTCGACATTTGATGATGTTAAATTAGTTAGACTTGATGGAAATATATTATTTTTTACTTTATAAATGAATATCATTACAAGATATTTGATAAAATTTTTTACATTGAGCCATTTTAATTTGCTAAGCATTTGCCTAATTGGAGTATATTTATCTTTATTTAGTATTATTCTCATGCACTTATTTTGTAAAATTTGCAGTCTTTCAAAAATGGAATTATTTGCTAAATATAGAATAGTCGAACAGTACAAGAAATTTGGAAGAATGATGGTATTATAGATAATTTTTCTGCTATATGAACTCAGACATCCAGAAACTCTCGATAAATATCCCACTTTACTACTAATCTTATTTATAACTTTTTCATAATGATTATCAAAAATTAATCGAGAGTCAACAAAAACTACCAGGTATTTAAAATTTTCTACGAATTCAATATCTTCACCATCAATATTCAGTTGAACATTTGTCCATTGTTTTTTTCCGATTAACAAGGCTTTCGTTTTACTTGCGTTTAATTTTAGTCTGTTAGATGCTAACCATTTTGAGACAAGCTTCAAGTCTTCATTTATATATTTATGCTGGTAAGATTAACGTTTCTATGAACTACTGCACCAACAGTTGCTAGAAAGAAGCTCGGTTGAATGCCCCGATACAACACGTCCTGGAATACTTCTACCTCGACTACACTACCCATATTCAATATAGTTCTGGAGAGTGTTCCGCCTGACTAGTGAGAAATTCTATCAGGCAGTCTTAGGCCTTCACATTCTATATCTTAGGTCGGGCTTTCATTCTGCTTTACTTGTCCATAAGCTTTCGGAAATGAGGAACAATCCACCTCAAGAGACTCCAATTTACTTGAGAACCCGTTTCAAGAAGGCTTTGCAACTGCTTCAGTGTGAAAATATTTTGAAAGATTGCATATGAACCAAAATAAATATTCTGAAACTTTCAACGAATAGTTAGTGGAAATGTTCAACATTTTTAATAAGACTGGAAGAAAAATCTTGTTCCTCAAAAATTCCCTGTTCAAGAATATTTTGTGGGCTTGAATGCTTCGTTAAGCTGAATTTCCACTTAGATGAGGCGACGCAAAGAGAACTGCTGCGAATTTTTTTATTGCGCACGTCTGTTTAGCTTTCCTTCTTCTCGCTTGCCTTCTCATCAATGGTTGCATACCTTCATGAGCCAGAAGAAATAACTGTTGCATACAGTATGGGGGTACCGAGTGAATCTGCTTGACCACCTTTTTTACTTTCATTCAAAGGGAGTATAACATGACTTGCATGGAGTTCGTCAGGAGTTCTCCCGCCCCCACTTGTTGCTTGTCAGCCAGAGAACAGTTGAATCAAGCCACAGCTTACATTGACGCGTCTACCGTCTATGGCTCCGACGAAAACATCACTCGTTCTTTAAGGGAAATGGGAGGAGGAAGAATGAAGGTACTGACTTTGGTGGACGGAAGAACACTGCTCCCTATTTCAGAAGATCCTAACGATGGCTGCAATAGGGAAGAACAGGAGAAGGAGGGAAGGTACTGTTTTGCAACAGGTAAGACTCAATTATGCCTCAAACTTTTATCCGAATAGTTGGGGATCCCATCATGCGAGCTGGATCGGCTGTAGAGGCTTTATAAATTCCCGATTGTATCTAAAAGATACTATGTTTTGGAGTTGACGTGAATCGGATTTGAAAGAATTCGGAGTCGAAATCGAAAGGAATCCGTATCTGGATCTGAAGGAACTGGAGACAACAATGGAATCGGAAGGCATAGGAATCGTGACCGAATCAAAGATATCTATTCCGAGGCCGGAAACGAAACCATTGAATCGAATTGTCAAAAGGAACGATTTGGTCATTTGACTGATATGAAGAGAATGTTGGAAAACGAGTTTGCTTGAACAAAATAAATGAATCGGTCATTCTAAAAATCAAGTCACATTTTCCCAAAATGTTTTTGTTTTTTGAAGAAATGCTTCCTTAAATGTAGATGCGTATTTTAGGCATAATCCACGTTGATACATCATTGCATAAGTGACTTACGTTGTTTGTGCATACAATACTAGACTACTTGAACGGGTCATTTCAAAAACAGTTCCAGGATCCTTGTTTTCTTTTCATTTAATATGCACCAAAATCTCAATTTAAAATACACTAACTACAAAAATAGTGTTACAGGCGAATTGAGTATCCACTTTGTCTTATCCGCTTTATCCGAAATCACTTTGTTTCTTGTTTCCTACCTCAATGTCCCTCATTTCTATGACTGGAAAAGCTCTTTAATTGTACGTTAAATAGTTTAAAATGCTGTTCGTAAACATATTATACAAATTGAAATACAAAACACCTGTATTGAAAAATAATTTTTTTGTAGAAAAAATACGCTGTGCTGTTTTGTCGAATTAGCACCCTGTTTGATGCTCTTTCGAGCTTTTCCCACTATTATTAGTAATAAGCTGTGTTTATTAGTTATAAGTTTAAGCAGTTTCTCAATCCCCGATGCAGAAAGGAGGTGTGTTATAAGTTTAACGTGTGAATTTGTGTGGGGATGAGCAACACAAAGTGAGCGAATATGTATTGAATCAATGAATGAATATTTGACACATTATTTCCGCCAGTTCAGCATTGCTCTTAGGGGCATTACAAACTTCCCTGTATAATCCTGCACTGGGAGTTGGTTGAGCGACTGGCAGAAATATGGATTGTGGGTACCTGAACATTGCAATCTTTCAGGTGACGCTCGCGCAAACGAAAATTTACATTTAACCAGCATGCACCTGATTTGGCTTAGACAGCACAACATGCTAGCAAAAAACTTATCCCAACTCAATCCTCACTGGGACGATGAAACTATTTTCCAGGAGGCAAGAAGAATAGCAGGTGCACAGATGCAACATATTACTTACCAAGAGTTTTTACCGATATTACTTGGTAAGTTTTTTTTTGTAAAACAAATCACATCAAGTAGACTGACTCGCTACTTCCCATGCATTCATTGATATGAATGATGTACATCTATTTTCACAGCATATGAATTGTGTTATGATGTGATATTTTTTTCAAATCGACGCCTTGGAGTGAAAGAATAGTGTCACGTCATTTGTGGGGATAGCAAAAAATTTGGTAGACACAAATCCTGAAAAATTCAATTTGTTAAAGTTATTTGTTAATTCTTGGTTTCGAGTCACTAGAACCAAACTTGACAGTATTTTATGTATTGTTTATCTGGAATATATTTAGGAGTTCCAAAATTAGACCCAGCACAAAGACAGTGGAAAAATACCTTCAGTAGAATTGAATGACTACATACCAAATCGATGGTTATACAACGGTGATAAAAACTGGACCGGAAAGATCAGTTTTCGGTCAGAAATGGGGGTCAAATATCAAAATGTCAGCTCATAATACAGTTATATGAAAAGAGAAAATCATGGATACTCACTTATACTCATATTTGAAACAAGCAAGTTGGAATAGTTTGCATGCAAATTGCTGTATAAAACGCCCCAGAAGGATCGCCCAGGAGGTGTCTAATTGATCGATAATATTGCAATCATTTTTGACAGGGTGACTGGAATAATGGTAAAAACACCGGTTAAATCAGGGGCGGATTCAGGGGGTGCCCTGAGTGTTCGAACGTGTTTTTCCATTTGCAGACGAGTCCTCCCCGCTTTTCAATTTTGAATCGCCGAACCCCCCACTCTTCAATTTTCAATTGCCGATATCCCTTTGTCGACACGGACTTCTTCCTAAACATGAATCTTGAAACCTTAGAATAGATAGATAGACCCTTGGTGAGAAAGATTCAAAATGTTTTATAGATAGAATAGACTATACCGAGTTAAATGGAATGACGTTATTCTTCTTTACAGAGGAGTCCTTTTTGGGCCCGGATCTCTGTAGGATCGACCTGTATGGCATCCTCTACGCAAAGTAGTCCAAATATTTCCTTGATTCCAATACAAATCTGAGGCATTATCCTCCATTTTCTCATTATATATAAGTACATTAAAAGTTGACCTTTTGACCCCGAAGTTCTAACCGAAAATTGAGTTTTTCCCCTTGCCTTTCTGCGGGGTATTTTACGTAACATAGAAACTGATTTATATAAACTCCTACTACACTACTTGAGTTCTATTTCTGACGTATTTCAGGTGAGAAACTCATGAGAAAGCTGGACCTACAGCCTTTAAGGAAGGGCTACTGGCAGAATTACAATTCCTCACTATCTCCAAATATAGCGAACAACTTCGCATCGGCCTCTTTCAGATTTGCTCACTCCATCATACCGGGACTGATGAAGTTACTTGCAGGAAGAAACGCAACTCCGGAATTCGTGCAGATGCACAAGATGCTGTTCAATCCTTTCGAGTTATACCAAAAAGGCAGGTTAGACGAAACGCTTAGAGGAGCTATGGGAACATCTATTCAGGCTAGCGACCCGTACTTTACAGATGAGGTAAATGTAGGTAATTGGGGTTATAGTATAGTTTTTCCGAATCAGGGCAACCCTGAAGCCCTAATTCAATAAGAGTGTTATATTTAATTGTTTTGCCGAATGTCTATAACCACAACCAAAGTATTGTGATTGCGAACATTTTCGAATCTTAGGGCCGTATCGTCAGTCGTTCCTACAATAATTTTAGGACGCCTTTATGGCCTCCTTGATTTTCTTTTCTCTCCCTCAGAAATGCTGGGTATTTCTAGATTTCAACTGATCCGTGTGAGCGTCAGAGCTCTCCTATTGTGAGGTTATGTTTCCTTTTTGAATCTATAAGAGATTTCAGGCTGATAAAACAGATGATGAAAATTTTATCAGCTGAAATATCTTAAAATTCAGAATATACCCTCAAAATAGAGCGCTTAGATGAAACAATAGAAATCTAGAAACACCGCTATCCAGAGCCGTCCTTAGCTGATGCGAGGCCTAGAGCAAAACCTTTTTGTGAGGCGTTTTTTTAAGGAAAGTGGTCTACTCCGAGAATTTTTAGAATTATAATAAATTTTAGGTCTGCCAAGGAATATATAAATTCGTATAAGAAATCTTTTTTTTTTTGTAGTGAATAATCAATCATAAATAAGCACACATTATTACAAAATATTCTTTATCTGCACATACTAATATTTGTCTGGTACTCTTAAGTGAAAATCTTAAATATTGTTTAAACCTTTGCTCGGCAGATTCTGACATAGGCTCATCTTCTCCCTCGAACTCAAACATTCTTTTTTCTTTATCTGGCTGACTTGGACTTCTTTGAACTTTGGCTCTACACCCAGAGTTTCACTAAGTTCTCTTGCAACCAATCAAGGGCGGATTCAGGATTTCGTCTAGGGGGTACGCAAACGATATTTGGAGCTGGTCATTTTTTAACCTCAGTGGAACTTCTAGAATTTATTCTATTATTGCTCCTTAAATCCATTGTGTTCTATCTGGTCAAGGCCAGCTTGAAAAAAAACATGGACAATTCTCAGAAATCCTCAAAAAGGCAATATTAAAATTATATGAGAACAGAATAAGTACGTGGCATGTATAAGTATTATACTACTAGTAGTGTAATAATATTAAAGATTCAAACATAAAAAACTCCATTGCTGGTAACAAAAAAAAATAAAACATTCTGAGGCACTCCGAGACATATCCCAGTCCATTCCACACAAAACAATGTTTTTGATTGCGAAAACGAACACGAGGATGGGAGGTCAAAGCCAGGCGGGTCTGTCTGGCAGGTACATCGCGTGGCGGCATCGTGGAAGAGAGATCTGAGGAGCAAAGCGCTGTCTGTTAAAGAAGAGTCATCGATCAGTCGGACATCCCTCTGGTCATCATCGAACATAATGAGCGCCTGTAGCAATTCCTCTTAGAGGGAGGAGGAAGGTCATTAAATTTTTTGTTTTTTTTTTTCAGAATAGCTAAATTGTGCCAAACATGATCCTTGTTGAACTTATGACAGCGTACCGAGTCGACTTACTTACTCGCCATTTTTTTGTTTCAGTTAAAATCACACATGTTCGAAGATTCAGTAGAACGCATGAAACAACCAAAGCTCTGCGGACTTGATTTGGTATCGCTGAACATTCAAAGAGGTAGGGACCATGGACTTCCGGGTTATGTGTTTTGGAGAGAATACTGCGGTTTCAAGAGACTCGCAGATTTTGAGGATCTAAGGCAATTTATGAATGAAGACGTTTTGGTAAACATCAAAGCTATTTACAGGTTCGTATTAATTGAAAGTGGACTACGTGCTAGAATTCGAGAATTTTAAGCCTAGAATAACAAAGGCGGAGTTATTTCGCAAAATTCAACTCAAACCCGTGGTATACGTAAAAGAAGAGATGATTGCATTTTCCATTTCAGCTACTATATCGAACTTAGTTGGAAAATTGTATAAGCCTAAAACATTTAGCAATATCTACCTTTACTACATCAGTCGATAGGTGGGGTTTTGCTCTGATTTTTGTTATAAAGATCGATAAAGCAACAAAAAATAAGGATCTCAATTTTCCCTGTTTCTCATTCTAATTGGTCGCGCTCCATAAAATAAAAACAAAGGCCGGCTGCTATGACCGGTGCTTCATTACTACAGTATGTAAATACGAAAATATCTACCAAAAGGTTTACCCCAATTCCACTTTTAATTTTTACTTCCCATGCCTACTAGCGAGGAAGAAATGTAATCGTGAAAAATTGGATGGAGTTATCATGTTTTTTTAATGTTACATGTGTAACTCATTTCCGTTGGTGTGTCTGTCTGTCAGTCTGTTCGCTAATCCTTGGCCCGATAACTTGGACAGAATTCGGATGAAGTTTTTGAAAATCGATACAGTGGTCCAGAGCAAAAACCTAAAAAAATATAAATCGCTAAAACTTTGTTTTTTTTTTGACGTTTCAGGGACTCTTGATCATTTTCAGAAAATGTTTTGTAGAGGTATGGAAGGGTATGTCTCATTTTTTATTCATGTTAGTATATTTATGCACTCCCAGCCTCGGTAATTCTGCGCACCTATTAGACATTTCACACAATGTAGATTTCTCCGTACTTTTGCCCTTTATTCTCAGAGGCTCTATCTTGTGTTGAACATGATCCTACGTCAATTTTGTTTATGCCAGTCGTAGTATTACTGGGAGCTGCTTGAATATAGAGAAAGTTTTTTTTGGCGATTTGAACCAAATCACACCACAAACGAAATTCAACATCAGAACTATTTCCAAAAATAATATTATAGAGCATTAAAATATATTTACACCAGTATGCGACGTTCAAATTCGAGAGAGATCGTGTTTGTTTTTACACGGACCAAATGAGGACTGAATTGACTTCACCTCCTGATATTTTGCAGACAAGTAGATGACATCGACCTTTACACAGGAGCTCTGAGCGAGGTTCCTCTAGAAGGCAGCATTCTGGGACCTACTCTGACCTGTCTGATATCTGATCAATTCGTTCGCTTGAAATACGGGGACCGATTTTGGTACGAAACTGACCAGCACCCAGTTGCATTTTCCACTGAACAGTTGAGACAGATCAGGAAAACCTCTTTAGCCAACATTATTTGCGACAATGCTGACAATCTGGATGTTATACAGCCTAAGGTAAGTACGTACTATGAACAATGCAGTAGGTTACTTCTACCAATGAGTTTCTGACAGTCTCGAACGGTGATTTACAGTGGACCAGATTAGTTCAATACATAGCTTGTTAACATTATATCGCTAATTTGTTTGGGAGCCTGTATTTCACAGTCCCAGATAGAAAATGACAGAAAATTCTCAATCACGGGCGAATCCAGGGAAGTCATGACCCCCACTGGGCGAATCGAGATGCTAGTGGGGTCACCGGAAATTTCAAAAATATGACAAAAACATAATTTTGTTAAATTTGTCCATTTTAATAACGCCATAAATAAAAATTAACAACTAATTATTTATCAAACGAAACATAAAACTAAATATTAATAGGTCTAGTTGGACAAATTGCAATTAATAAAATAATTGTTCAACTTTTTGAATCTATTTAAAGCTCAAACAGTAAAGTAAAATAAAATTTGAAAGACCATCAGTTACTAATGAACTAATTAGGCACGCTGTTTTTGTCACTGCTTTAGTGAGTCGTCAACAATGTTTTTAGATGTAGATAAGTTTGGGAAATGCTGCTTTAAGGGAAAAATATAATTTAAATGAATACATTCCGCAGGTGATGGAGAAGCTGGGAAAAGGAAATAAGTATGTCAACTGTTCAGAAATAGAAAGGCCAAACCTAAGCGCGTGGAAGGACGATCTAAACCACGTTAAATTGTTTGATGATAAGACTAACGTAAGAGTGTTAAATTTAGTCGTAGGTTAAGGGACATATCTCACTTATTAATGTGTCAGCGTGCATCTATTAAAAAAAGATCATAAGATAGACATTACTGTGGTATGTTATATACATGTACTTTGTTCGTATATATCTCTACATAGTTTAAAACAGATAATAAATGTTTGATTTTGAACAATAGCTAATAAATCTCTATCTCATTGTTTTGCTTAAAAACGTTTTAGGTGTTGTTAATCACCGCGTTTACAAACAGCAGGAAAGAAAAGCATCTACTTTATACGGAAACTTATTTCCGAAAAAGTTGAACGTTCAAAATGTCCCGAAAAATGTTCAATTGATTCCCAAAAAAATTATTTGCATAGAATCTTTTAGACCTGTTTTCAGAGGTTAAAAAACATTCTGGGCATTTTAGTTCTGCTAGAGTAGTGAAAACCCAGATAGCAGATGTGTCACGAAGAATTTTGAACTAATTTGTAGACGTACCTGTCACGTCAAAGTTGTATACAGGTAAAACCAATTTTATCTGACGGCTTAAGTTCAATATGTACGAGAGAGAAGCGCGAGAAGTGTGTGTCAACACATGCTCGAATCAGATAGAAGGCGGCTGAAGTGCGGAGGTAATCTCTAGCAACGATGACGCAGCAGGTCGTGCGTTGCCAATATGATACAGAAGAAAAATGTTCGCACAACAGGTTAGGTTACTGTCAAACCAGGGAAGGAGGTCTGTTCGAGCATTTGATTTGATGTGACAGCGCTGCGTTCGGAAAATGTAACAAATAACGTTACGCAATACAAATTATCACGGCCTGCGTGTGCGCAGATGAAAGCCATTTCCAAGCAAGACGACACTCGCCAATGAACGCTAGATGATCACGGAGGTGGAAACTTCGCCTTGGAATGTACTAGATGCGGTGTTATCAAATAACCAATGATGCAATGTTGCAGAATTTGTGGCAATCCTGACATTTCATTTTCACTTAAAATGGAGCGCCGTTAGGACCGATCAGGAATCAATCCTAAACCGATTCGACACAATCCACAATTCAAAAATGTGTACGTTCAAAATAAAACCATCGTTTGGGCGAAAACAATAAACTAACGCATATTTAATATGCATCTTAATTCAAGGAACTGGTATAACATATTGGCAATGCGGCGCATTGCCGCATCACCGTTGCTGGCTTCCCGAGATGTGCTTCGCTATCCAGGTGGCTTCTATCTCTTTCCAATATATGTGTCTATATACACTTTTCTCTCGTACACATTGAACACAAGCTGTCAGACAAATATGGTTCTCAATGTATATGGGCTGCCGAATGTGCACCATTAACATATAATAATAATAATAGCTTTATTGTCCAACAGTTTCCCATTTGTAGGACAATTTATAAACATAATACAAAAGCAAAAAAAAGCGAAAAAAAACCGAAAAGAAAACAACAAATGCAACACAGGTATAAATTTGTAACATGTGCTATTGGTCCGAATAAGCCTTAGCTGCCTTTAGCAGGTAATTAACATTTGTCGTAAATATATCACAATAACATCCAATTCTGTTTAAGTTAGAGCACATTACATATAACGGTGACTTGAGAAGAATGTTTGTCCTAGCTCTAGGAAGCCCGAATATTTTATGATTGCGAGATGCAAACGTTGGAGTACGAAACTTGATCTGTTCCAGGATCATGGGGCAATCAATTAAATTGTTGATCATTTTGTAGCCAAATATTATTGAGGCACAGTACCTACGTTTTTTCAAAGTCAACATGTCTAAGCGACTACATAGTTCCTCATTACTTGTATCTCTCTCTGGATATGTCCCATCAATCCTAAACAGAACAAACTTCATAAACTTCCGTTGTACTCTTTCAATAGCTGTGCTATAGCATTCATAGTAAGGGCTCCAAATAATACTACAATATTCGACTTTGGATCTAACATAAGCCTAATATAATAGCTTAATAAACTTGTTATGAAAATTCCTGCAATTCCTTACTATGAAACCATAAGCCGCCAATGCTTCTGATGCTTTTTTATTTATATGCTGACTAAAAGTTAACTTTTGATCATAGATTATACCTAAATCACGTACATCAGAGCATCTTTCTAGCACAGACCCATAGAGTACGGATATTCGCAAACATTAATTTTCCTGGTATAGCCGATTATTTTACACTTCCTCACATTAAGCTCCAACTTGATGAACATTATGCGGTATATGTATATGGGATCTAACTAGTGCCACTTTCAATAAGCCACTGCAAATGTAGGGACATTAACAGAAAAGTTATATATCATCGAAACATACCTTTATTAAATAACATTAACAGTTTGTATAAAATTTGATGGATACTCATGTCATTTCACCAATAAGTATATTACTTCTGTGACACACGACATTCAAATCTTGTGCTATTTCATCCATGACATGTTACGTTACATATTTCTGACATTTTCTCCGACACAATCTTACTACACCAACGCCTTCTCATGGGTACTACTGCGATAACTTGATTATCATTTTTCTATTGGGTTTCATCAAATATTGACTTTCGATGCACCAACGGTAAATTCCTGGTCCGCAAGAAAGTGTTTTCATTCCCAGTGATACTGAAGCGCCTTTCGCCCTCTGAGCCCATCAATGTCCGTAAAGCAATGTTCCTTTGCAGTACTTTACGGTAATACTCAGCACCACCCTCTGAAACACGGTTCATTCAACGATTAAGGCTGAGTGGTTTTGGTACGTTTAAGGAAAAAATCTGAATTGCAAACGTATGAATCTCCTTCAAAACACCATTAAATTTAATAATAATTCGCCTATTCTAGCCCTTCGAGTTTTGCAAGACAGTGGCAAATAGCTGGTAACCCGAGCTGAGGTAAGTCAAGGATATCAGAAACGAATAGATATTTAATCAAGATTTTGAGGAGGCATTTGCTGGGTAATTGAATAAGGTTTGCAAAATTCCAAAACTGGCAAACCATACCATATTATTCCAATTATGTTTATATTGTCTATAGCTTATTAGTTTATAGCACGAAGACTAGAGATATGAGGTTAAACTGCATAAGGGAGCAACAACACATCGAAAGGTCCGTCAAGAGATATTTTAGGGCCAACGGCGTTAGCGGAAGCACTGACTCCTCTTCAGAATACTCTTCTTTGGAAGATTCACATAGCGCATTAGCGGAATCCCAAGGTCATTGCACACCAGAGAAGCTCGTACGGCTTATAAAGACCTCAATGCGCATAAAGCACCTAGGTAGAATCAAATCATCAACAAGGCGTTGAAGCTGCTCTCGCCGAAAGCTCTGAGATATTTGGTGACAACAATCAATGCGATGCTCAGAACCCAGTCCTCCCTGCGGGATACAAGACTGCTGAGATCATCATGATTCCAAAGTAGTTGAGTTCGATATACCTCAAGATTACCATCCCATTAGTCTGCTGTCAGCTCCTTCTAGGCTCACCGAAAAGGTGATTTATAGTCACATTGAGAATTTTTAGTCAGATCACCATGAGGTTCAATTCGCATTTCGTTCGTTGCATAGTACCGAGCTCAGGCAGTCACCCTGATGGAACATGTAACCAGAGGATTCACCCTCAACATGAGTACTGGCGTCTTGCTTTTGGATGTCTCGAAAGCCTTCGGAAGTTATGGCATGCGGGCTTCCTCCATAAACTAATAAAAAATCCACTTTCTTTTGGCTTCTAAAGCTACTAGATCAAAATTAACAATGTTATGTCGACAACACGTCCAGTACGGGCCGGTGAACTAGCGATCTGGTTCACGCCGGGTTGCAGAGTGTGAAGGACGAAGTACAAGAGTGGGCGAAACGGTGGCTGACTAAAATGTCGCTGTTTCGGTAGATGGAAACCGTATACCATGGGAAAATTCTGCCAAGTATCAAACAGCAGCGTTGAAAACAAGATTCCAAATTAAGTTTCTGCAACTATATTTCTAATACAACTATATGTTTGCCAATACACAAATGCAAAATCTCCAAGTACTGCAAATCCGGACTGTACGAACAATTTGCAACGCTGCATAGTATGATTCGAATGAGACGCTACACAGAGGTCTTTCATTACTTGAGGGATTATATCAAGCTTCGGGCGCAGCGAAATTATAGTTAAGCGGACTTGCACAGCAACTCTCTGGATTAGAGAGAGGAGTAAGTTCGTAATTCAAGGCCACGGCTCGCACTGTAATCAAAAATTTAGTGCGAACTTCCAGTAGGCCCAAACATACACTAACAAAGTCTGCATCAAAATTTGTTTTCATTTCACTTCAAAATTAATCCGGGCACCAACTCAAAAAGCCTAGATGTTTCCTGTTAAACTGATGCACTTATGAGTTCCTCTGCTCTTCCGCTTGTCCCTCTCTTTCCATCTCTCTTTTTCTTTGACACTGTCTCGTTTCTGGGTAACCAGGAATGACAGATTTTTATTTGAAACTTAATACCTCAGTTACATTAAAGCTTTGGTATATGTGTTTATAGCAAGTTGCTTATTGTTACACTACGCTGTATAAAATCCATATCAATGCAAAATTCGATGAAAGGAGACTAAGGTGTTGTTTACATGCTTGCTAAGGGTTTTGAGTTACCTGCAAACCTGGGGTCTATCTGCTTCAACTTTTTATCAATTCTTTCCTCGGCGAATATCTGTGTCGTGTCTTTCGACATAATATAGACCCCGTACATGAACATCGCAACAAAATAATACATTGCTAGACGGAGCTGAATTGGCCTTGAGTACAAATCGAATTTGGTGTTAAGGTGGCGACTTGTCCCATACAAACCAATAATTGACATCGTGGCAAAGCACATGTCTGCAAAGGAAAATCGGAGAAAATTATTATAAAGATCGTTGTTCACGGTAATCGGATCATGCTAGGATTGTGCCATGAGCGTAGGGTAATTTCGCTGGTGCACCCTCGAGAGGACCTTTGCAGGAACATAAATCAAATTCAAGCGAATAACCAAATGAAAATGGTATTTACCATTTTGGATTGGTATTTACCGATGCGTTCAAGCGAGTGTGGTTATCAGTTTGGTTATAAGATCTGTGACGTCATGAATCAGCTGTTATATGTCATAGTTATCACCGCAAAATTGTGGTATTTACCCAAATCGGGAGTAGTTTTATATTTCTGGTTATTATTTGAAATGCGACAAGTTAGAATTTTGGCGG